TGTTTAAGGTGCCACTTTTTAAGGCTCATAACTTTTTTCCTAGACGTTTCAAGCGAATTTTAAGCCCGGATTTGAAATCAACGTGAAAATTTCATTCAGATAACATTGCTCCATTGAGAAAGAAAATTTTTTTCAATTTTAAGGTTTTTAAACCAATTTTGAGCCTTGAAATTGATGACTTATCGATTTATTTGTCTCGAAATTGCGAAAAAAAGTACATTTTCACAACAAAATCGTACTCCGATGTCATGAATTCCGAATAAAATTGAATGAAAACCTAGAAAAAAGTGTCGAATTGCAGACCTGAAACACAAGCCCAAACTTCCTTTTGTTTTCCCCCGCCACTCGAAGTGGGAAAATCCTCTCCTTGTTTCGAAGATTCAGAGACTTTACGCCGAAAGGACTTCCTACGATAGAGTTATTTCCGGGTTTTGTGTAGGAGTTTTCGAAAGAAAAATGAGCCGTTTTGGGAATTTTCCAAGTTTTTTGACATTTTGAATGTGTAGGCTTCTCAAATCATTACAGAAAATTGATTTTCGTCTCGAGACCATTGGTGGTATGAAAAAAACACCAGCGAAAATTCAAACGGCAACTTTTCCGATTTTTTCATATCGCTAGGGAACTTTCCGACGAATCTTTCTCCGACTTTTTTTCTCAATAAAATATTCGTTTTAAATCTCCCTATATAAAGTAGGTAGTTGGTTAATGATTAAAACACAAAGAAATAGAAAAAAAAAACAATGTTTATAGATGTTTTATAAACCGAAAAACTTAAGGGAAAAAAGTCGGAAAGGGATCCGTCGGAAAGGTGGCCGTCGGGAAGTTCTCTAGCGATATGAAAAAATCGGAAAAGTCGCCGTTTGAATTTTTGCTGGTGTTTTTTTCATACCACCAGACCATTATTTGAACATATCCGTGCGCCTTCAAACTAGGATTTTGTTTCTCCGGTTTTCGATTACACAAGAAAACATTTTGAACAATCTTCGAAAAAAAATGAGCCGTTTTGAGGATTTTTGAAGTTTTTTGGGCGTTTTCAGAGTGTTGACTTCTCAAAATAACACTGAAAATTGCTTTTCGTCTCGAGACCATATCCATGCGCCTTTTAACTGAGGCTCTCGCAACTCCGCTGGTTTTTAACAAAGAAAAAAAAGTTTTTGCACTGGAGGTCAATTTTTTGGGGAAAAATGAGTCATTTCGGTAATTTTACAATTTTTATGCGTTTTAAAAGTGTAGACTTCACAAAATACCACATGAAACAGCTCCTCGTCTCGAGACCATTCCTTGTAACTCCTCCATGCTCCTTTAAACTAAGGCTCTCGGATCTCCGCTAAATTTTGATAAACACTAATTTTTTTGTTTTATGAAGCTTACTTTTTGAATGAAAATGAGCCTTTTTGAGAATTTTTCAAGTTTTTTGGCATTTTGAATGTGTAGGCTTCTTCAAATTTGTACTGGAATCGGCTCCTCGTTTCAAGGCCATCTCTTGAACATAACCATGCGCCTTTAAACTGAGGCTTTCGAGAATCCTGCTGAATTTTGATGCAGTAGAAAGATTTTCTTGCATTGGAAAGGTAGATTTTCGAAGGAAAAATTAGTTTTTTGGCTTCTTTGAAGTGTAGACTTCTCAAAATATTACAGAAAAAAGCTCCTCGTTTTTAGGCTTTTAGAAGATATAATATGTCAAAAAGGCGTTGAAAATGGCTCCTCGCCTTGAAATATTTCTCTTGAGTTTGCCTATGCGCCTTTAAATGAGGACTTTCGAGTATAGCTGATTCACGGCCAGCTTGGGACGCTAAGGGGGCGTGTCCTGTCTGCGCTCTCCACCAACCAGGCGCTATCTCGTGCATTATCGTGTCAGGACCCGTTTTTCGATGGCTCAAGCCAGCCGTGAATCAGCTATAAGCTATAGACACTTTTTCTTATTCTTTGGGCTTTTTCCCTCTAAATGCTCATATTTTAGAAAAGCTCAAATCAAGGAGACGATGGGATTTTTTAGGTTTTTACGTTTTTTGAACTGGTAAAAAAAGTTTTTTTTCCTAACCGTTTTGAAAAAAGACATCATAACAAAGAATAAATTTTCGAAAGAGTGAAATGTGTGGCAGACAAGAAGGCGAGCCAGTAATGGAATTGAAGATCAAGGAAGCGTTTTATGGGCCTTTTTCGGGCCCCGAAAAGCTTCAGGAAGTCGCCGATCTCTCTTGCTTTTATGGGGTTTCTGTTGGCTTTTTGGGAAAATTTGGGATTTATCAAATTTCTTCGGAGCGTTTGAAAGTGCGGACGTTTTGAGTGAAATATCATCAATTTTAGTTTCATTTTTGGGTTTTTTTCACTTTTTATGGCTCAAAGTAAGGCTAGACAAGTGTCCCGTCCTCGTAATTTTCAATGCCGACCTGCGTAAGTCGTTTCGGGTCGGGTGCATTTTAATAGACACTGGGTGCTTCAAAAACAGTCCCCAAATTTGAAAAAAACCTGAAAGTTTTTCTAAAAAAACGATTTTTTTGGTTTCAGAGAAAAAAATGATATATTGAGAATGAACCCCCCTCGGAACTAAGATTTTCTTAAGGGACCACTTTAGGGATTTTAACTAGAAGAGACTTAAGGAAGGAATGTTGGTGGTACCTCTACATCTTTTGAAAACATAATTTGGACAAAAAATAGAAGATCACTTTAGGGACCACTTGAGCTTTAGATGATTACGGAACCCTATAGGGATCACCTCATTTTGAGCCCTCTAGGGGCCACTTTAGCGACCCTAAGTACTGAAGAAACTTTTTTTTCAGCTCATTTTAACTGTTTGAAACGATGAGAAAATGTTCTAAAAAATTTTTTTTGATTTTTTTTTTCCATACAAATTTCAATTTTAAGGCATTTCTGGTTCAAAGTCAGTTTTTAGTCAATTCCTAATAAAAATGAAGTTTTTCTCTCAATTTTACCCACAACGAAGATCAACAATAGACAAGAAGACGAGTGAAAAAAAGACTTGAAAATCCCATAAATAATTGAATTAGATGACATGGCCGTTTCATGGCGGCCCCACATACAAGTGGACTTCCCGCCTTTTTTTCGCCTTGTTTTGAAATGGGGAAAAAATGGGCGGTCGCCATTTTTGAGGCCTCGGATTTCATTATTCTGACTGGTATTCTGACCCGATTTTAATTAAGAAAAAGGCTTGGAAATTGGAGTTTTGAAGGAAAATTTCGGATTTTTATTCGAAATTAGGGTGATTTTGGTGTATAGAATGGATTTATAAGGACTTAATATTGAAAAAAAGGTTTTAAATAGAAAATTGAAGGAAGAAAGCTGTATTCTGTTCCGAAATTACAATTCTGAGTTGAAAAAAATCATTCATTCTATGATAATTAGACCAAAATTTTCGGAAAAAAAATTTTTTCATGCATGTTTTGGGACAGTTTTTTTCAATGATCGAAGGCTGTTTCTATTGTTTTTAATGAATTTTTAAAAAGAAAAAAAATTTACTTCCCAAAAAAATACTCATTTTTTTATTCCAAAAACATGAATCCACCAAAAATCACCCCCTATTTCCCTACAAAATTCAATTTTCGAGCCTTTTTTTAGCCATGGTTGAAACGGGTGTCCCCTTAATTATTTCGCCTCATTAGGAAGGAAAAATGTTCATTTTTATTTTTTGGATAATTAATTTCGAGAGCTCTCCGCATTTTAATGAGAGGTTGTCTATGGGATTCACATTTTTGAGATTTTTCCGAATTTTCTGAGCTTTTTTATGGAATTTTGAGGATTTTTAATTTTTTCATAGATAAAGTTGATCATAACGCAGCTTTTCCCTTAACTTGGTTAGATTTTTGAAAAAAAAATTTTTCTAATTCCAAATTTTATTAAAATTATCGTTAAATTAGATTCCCGTTTCAACCTAGCTATAAATTTTGAGGAGTTTTTTTTGACTTTTTGATCGTCTATCAACTTCTGCGGTGATTCCATTGTATTTGATCTGTTGGAAAAAAAAGAATGTGTAAGTTTTATCGATTTTTTTTTGGCCTGGTCGCATTTGGAATGGCTCGAAGCACGTGGTTGTTCAAGTTATTCTTCAAGTTATTCCGAGTTGAGCCACGTAAAATAAAGAGGATTATTATTTCCATTTTTATCAGTTTTTAGACCGGACTTTGATTTTTCACAATTTCCGAGAAAGTTGAAAATAATCTTAAATTTGCAAATTTGCTTTGAAAAAAAAAACTAAAATCGAATCAAATAATTTCAAGTTTGAGATTCCCGATGCAACGATTGACCTGTAAAAAGAAGAAAAAAATCGGAAATTCAGCCTTGAATTTCGATAAATCTTCAAAAAAATTGCATTTTCCGAGGGATTTTAATGAGTTTTTTTCCTCGCTTTTTTTCATCAATTTCCTATTATTTTTTTTCTTCTTCTCACATTTTAATGAACCTTTTTGGAATAATTGGATTTTTCGGTTTGAAAAGAAGAAATTTGAGAAAAACAGCTTAGGTGGAGGTGAGAGAGTGTGGTGGAATTGGAGACGCCAGACATCTCTTTTTATGTCTGGGTCTCTCACCTTTCAATACCCTCTAATTTTACGATTCTGTGAGAATCATTTTTTATCATATTCTTAAAGATTTTGTTGGGATATCACCAAAAATGAGAAAAAAAGAAAGAGTATGGGAAGAGTGGAGAGTCCAGACACATCTCTGCCTGTTTGACACTCTCCATATTTACCACACTCTCTAATTTAACTCTAGAAAATTTTAATTTCTTCTATTTCTGTTGAGAGTTTTGATGTTGTAGTAGTTTTATTTTAAAGGGAATGGACATAAGTCACAAGAAGTTAGAGAGTATGTGGAATTTAGAGACGCCAGACGCATCTTTGTCTGTCTGGAACACTCCTCTTTCCACATACTCTCTTCTATATTCCAAATTTTTCGATTCCCTACAGTTTTGATAGCATTTTTCTCGTTTTCCACTGCAAAAATGTGTTATAAATTTCAAATTTTCATCATTTTCAGACTACGAAATGTACAAAATCCACCGGCAAGGTCAGCCGCTTGGGAAAGAGAAGCCGCCCGCCGGAAAATCGGTAATTTTTTCGATTTTAAGGCGCATATTCATTTAATAAAAGATACATGAACTTACCTTTTCAGCGAGATTTTTTTAATTTATTGGTGAATATCAAATTTTAATCTACCGCAAATATTATTTGTAAAAAAAGTAGGCCTACGAAAAATGTGGATTTTTTTCAATTTTTTTGATGGAAAAAGACAAATTTAACCGATAAAAAAATGAAAGTTTTGGATGTATAAAGAAAAAAATCGAATTTTTTTGAATTTTCAAAAGGAAAAAGGCAAATTTCATCAAAAATAGGTGTACTTTTTTTGACAATATTCGAGGTGTTTGAATGAAAAAAATACAGAATCCATTCAAAGAAATGAGCTTCTTGGCCATAATATATTGAAAAGAAATCCCAGAAAAAAGTGAATTTTCTCAAATTTTAGAGTTGAAAACACAAAATTCTTTGAAAAAAGGGAATTTTTGGTCTTTTTTAGAAATTCTTTGATTATTTTTGACCTCTGTAGTTTGTACGGTTATTTTGGCCTTTCTGAATTAATCTGAGAGAAATTTGCTTGAAATTAGCTTTGAAGCGGGAAAGACTGAGACCTGACGGCTGTTTTTTCACAAGCATTTTAGCAGTCATTTAAAAAAAAAGCCACAAAATCCTGTACCGGGAAAGTTATTAGAAGACGTTCTAGAGGTTCCTCAAGGACTATTTAAGGGGGACACTAAAGGGGCCACTAAAACCACCTCCAAAGAAGCGACTGGTGGCCATTAGAGTAGCTTCTAGTGGCCCAGTAGTACCACTTAGACTACTAGAAAGGCCACTAACTTTTAGTCCCTCAAGTGGCCACTAATTTGATCACTATAGTGGCCACTAACACGTCAAAACTCTGAGGTGGTCACTAAAAATTTTCTCAGTATTTTACTCCTCAAAATTTTCAAAGACTGGGAAAGTTTTTAGTGGCCACTTTAGGGTTTTGAAGTTTCAGTGGCCACTTTAGTAGTCAAATTAGTGGCCACTTAAGGGTTTAAAAGCTAGCGGCCACTATAGAGGTCTAAGTGCTACTACTAGACCACTAAACATTTTAGTGGCCACTTTAGGGGTCAATGGATCAACATAACTGGTCTAATCTGTTTGTTTTGAAATTATCAAATTTACTGGAAGGAATACGGGATGAAAAACTACTGAAGTGGCCACTAAAACGAAGAACAGTGGCCACTGTAGAGATGGGTTTAGTGGCCACTTTAGTGTCTTCTCCAAGTAGTCTTCGGAGAGCATCTATAGCGGCCACTAGGCATTTTCCCAGGTAATCAAAAATTTCAAGAAAAAATCAGAATACAATGATAAAAATTGATCTTTTTTTGATATTCCACCGGTTTTTTTTGCTCCTGACAATTTCTTGGGCATCTCCCAGAACAAACACCAATACATAGACCCGGCATAATGAACCTCGTCATAGGTTTCGGATTTCTTGGCCCTTTTTTTTCATCGAAGAAGTTTTGCCCCGAAGACAATTTCGTACTCCTACTCCCCCTCCAATTTATGAATGCCTTCTTCGATTATTTTGACCCTCATGGACCTGTGAAGGACCCGTTTTCCAGTCGAAATGTTCGTTTTTGACAAGGATTTTATGAAAAACTGTGTTTCTTTTGGGGTTTTGAGAAATAGTCAAAAAAATTTATGATTTCATGATTTTTCTTTCGAATTTTTGACCGGTTTTCAACATAAAATGTTCGTTTTTTTCTTTTTAAGTTTTTGTGGGAAAAAGTTGTCGTTTTTAGTTTTCTAGTCTTTTTTGAGCAGAGTTCGGAATTTATGTACCGTCCTCGTCAAAATTTCTAACTAATGAAAAATTGGAATTTTCGACGGCAAAAAAATATTCGTTTTTTTCAAAGATTTCATGAACAAGAATAGTAGAGATTTTTTTTAGTTTTTTTCATCAATTTTTTTGAAGAGAAATGGGAGTTTTTTTAAAATATTTATATCAAAAAGTGTAGTGGAAACTTTATTTTTTTTAGTTTTATAGTCTTTTTTTCGAGTAGGAATGTGAATTTTTTTCATGTTTTTTTAGAGAAATTTATGATTTTTTTCGTGATAATTTTAGCCTTTTTTTGACTTGAAAAATGTTCGTTTTTTTAAGAGTTGATAGAAAAAAAGTAACGTCTTTTTTTGTAGAAATGTAAATTTTTTTATTGCCTTTTTTTCAAAATTGTATCATTTTTTTCCGATGCAATTTGGGCTTTTTGTCGCCTAAAAATGTTCGTTTTTTTGAGGTTTTTTTATGGGAAAAACTGGGGTTGAAAAACTCGGTTTTTTGGTTTTTTGAATGAGATTTTTGAGCAGAAATGATATTTTTTTCTTAATTTTTTTCTTGGAAATAATGATTTTTTTCATGTTTACCAAGCTTTTTTTGAACAGTAAATGTTAGTTATTTCCTGACTATAATGGAAAAAATAAAGGTGGGAAAAGATTATTTTGTAGCTTTGAAGCAGGAATATCCGCTAATCAGATGAGATTTTCGAAAAATTCTTTAAAAATTTTTTTTCAGTTTCGTGTTTTGACTGTAAAATACACTTTCAAGGGAATATATTAGAAATTTATCTTTGGTTTTAAATTTTTTCGACTTTTCAGAAGTCGAAAAATGCGGACGACGATGAGAAGACAAAGGTTAAGGTCGGTTTTTCCCTTCAAAATCAAATTTTCTCTCAAAAAAATAAGGGTTATCAGGGATTTTTTTCATTTTTTTAGATTAATTTTGACATGAAAAAAAGGGGTTTTTTTCAGGATTTTTTTAGTAAAAAGGAAGAAAAAAATGATAAGATGCCTTTTTTTGTCCCTCTAGGGACCACTAAGGACATTAGCATGACCCCTACAGGGGCCACTAATTGAAACCCCAATAGGGGCCACTTTTTGCAAGCTTTAGTGACCCCTCTAGGCGGAGGAAAGGCGGTCCCTAGAGGGGAACCTTCAGCGGCCCCTTCGGCTGCCCCTATAGGGACCACTCTGGAACTCCTATCTTCCCCTTTTAGAATAAATTTTTCACAAGAATTTTCAAGTTTGGAAAAAAATTCATTAATTTTTGCCCAGAAATTGCAGATCAAATTTTTCTCACATCCCATTTTTTTTAATACTTCTCCAGAAACGGTAAACTACCTTAATTGCAAAAATCGAATTTTTCTCTCAAAAAATGAGTAAAAAATATTATTTAGTGATTTTCATGAAAAAAAAAATGTTTTTCAGGATTTTTTTCCTTCTTGAAAATGGAATAGTATTACTAAGGTACCTTTTAACTTCGTCCCTCTAGGGGCCACTAACTGAAATCCCTAGAGGGACCACTTTTGCAAGCTTTAGTGGCCCCTGGCATGCTATAAATCACGGACGTTCACAAAATGCGACCGCTTTTTATGGGTAATTCACTGCAAATTAATAAAACACGGGCGTTTCTTGTTTTTATCTTTTTCATTATTTCAGACTTATTTTTTCTAGTTTTGTAGTTTTTCCTATTTTTCCTGTGGTAAGAAACGATTCAATAAAGTACTATGACGAAATTTTTAATTTCATAACGATGATTTTTTTTAATTGCTTAAAAAATACTTCTGAGATTCTAAAAAAACATTTTATTCAATTCATAATTCTGTAATAAACCGGAAATCAGTTGGAAAATTGAATATGGGACAAAATAAACCTTGAAAAATGATTCAAAAAAAAGATATTGTCAAAAATACAAAAGGGGCAGCACTGTAGTGTTCGGACAGCAATAGAAAAATGAAAAACTATTTTTTTATTTCAAAAGAAAAAAATAAAAAAATCCAAAAAATCCCTAGAGGGAAACCTTCAGCGGCCTCTTTGGTTTCCCCTATAGGGACCACTCTGGAGTTCTTAGTTTCTTCTTTAAAATCGCTTTGACAAAAAAATATTCAGACTTGAAAATAATCGTTAATTTTTGGAGGAACGATATGTAATGAACAAAACGCTCCTTAATTTTATTTTCTGTATTTATACTATTACGGAAATAGTAAACTACGTTAGTTGCAAAAAAATCCATTTTTTTCGCTCAAAAACATAAGTTAAAAAAGAAGTTTTATTCATTTTCAAAAAAAAGAAGGATTTTTTGCAGGTGGCGACAGTTCAAATCGAGAACGACGATGAGGAAATCCGACGGATGGAGCGAAAAAAACGGACCCAGGAAGACATGGTCGCCGATTTCGTCAAAATTTTGGAGCAAATGAGTCGGTTTTCTTCTTTTTCCAATGCAAATTCTGAACAAGGATGGTTCACGTTTCAGGAAAAACCATTTAAAAAAAGTAGAAATGAGAAAAATTTGATTCGAAAGGCATTATACCTCCCAAAAAAAGAGAAGTTTTTTTATAAAGACCGAAAAAAATTAAACTTGTAAAAAAATAAGTAAAAATCCATAGGTCGAAATGATGATTTTTTTCGAAATTTTTCATATCAGGTTTTTTTCATATGAAAAAAATCTTGAAAAAAATTTTTTTATTCTGAACCAGATTTTTAGCTCAAAATTTGAATAAAAAAACAGCTCGAAAAATGGTTTTTTTTTTCGTCTTTTTTCGTTCATTTTTCATCCGTCTGACCTGTCTGCACCCTCTCTCTCACTCTCTAGAAAATGAGCAGAAGTGAGAGAGGAGAGAGCGCAGACAGGTTAGAGCTTATCGGATGAAAAAAAATATTTTTGTTTCTGAAAAATTTCGGCGTCTTTACCAAACAATTTTCAACCCTCTGACTCTTCTGTGCCCTCTTTTTCTCTCCGAGTTAGAGAGAGGGAATGAGAAGAGGGCGCAGACAGGTTAGAGCATTTTTGATCAGAAGTTGGTTTTAGCTCAAAATTTGAATGGAAACAGATCGAATTTTTTTTTCGTCTTTTTTCGCTCATTTTTCTTCCGTATGACCTGTCTGCACCCTCTCTCTCTCTCTCTCTCTATCTCTCTAGAAAGTGAGCAGAAGTGCAGAGAGAGGAGAGGTTAGAGCTTTTCGCATTTTCTGTCATTTTCCAACCTCTGAATAAATCTCAATTTTCCTCAGTGAACCCTCGCCAAGCGGTGACGTCATTCATCGCGGCGGCAATGGGTCTCGCCGCGATTATCGTGGCCCTGATTTATTTTGGCGGCCTGCCAGAAAATGCCGAACGGGCCCGGCAACTCGTCGTGATCCTCATGGTTTATGGTGAGAAATTTGATGAAAATTCCTTTTTGCGCATAAAATTACTTTGCTGTTTCACAGTTTTGACAAGAGCCTTTTGAATCAGTTGTTTCCCGTTTTTGATGCGCTGCAATATTTGGAAAAATTCAAAAAATTAGACATTTTCTGGGATTTTTTTAAAGTCATTCAAGAAACGTCAAATAAATAAAAAAATTAAAAAAACGAGGAAATTCTGAGGGACCCCTATAGGGGGTTTGTTACAATCGTGACCCCTCTAGGGGGGCAGAACAGGCCCGCTTTGAAACCCCTATAGGGACCCCTCAAAATTTTCTCAGAAGATTCTGAAACTTCCTGAAAACGACTTTTTGGTCTGATGATAGTCGATCATTTAAAAATGAAAAATGAAGAAAATAACTTCACTGTTTCGAAAACGTAACAAAATTCTTTTGAGTCATTTTTTTTACGATCAAGTAAGCTTATACTTTCGAAAATTCATAAAAATTTAGACTTTTTCCAAAAAAATTCATGAAAAATTGGAAGAGGCGCGGCCAGCCAATCAGAGCAGTTGGGCGCCCTAAAAAGGCGAAAAAAAATTAGCATTTCTTACTGTTTCAAAAAATGATGATCAATAATGGAATTAGCAGTGAAGTAATGGTTCAGGAGTTATCGTATCTATCGATATACATTTTTTTTTTTCAAACAACGGAATTTTTGATTTTCTTTTGTATAGTAGATAATTTACCTGTTTCACGAGATTTAGATCATCTTTCTCATCAAAAAAATTTTAATGATAGCAGAAAGGATAATATTTTGATTGGAATGTTGGAAAAATTCGATCGTTTTTGAAAAATTTTTCAATTTTTTTCAGTTCAAAAATTGTTCAAAAATGCGTAGAATCATCAATTTTGGTTAGTTTTTCAAGTTCTGAAAAAAACCAAACAATGGTCAAAAATAGGAGATTTTCTTTTTTCAATAAATTTCATGTCAACTTTTTTTAAAAATTTGCCCTGAAATCGGAATTCGTCAAGTGCAAAATCAGGATTTGAGAGCATTTTTTTCTGGAGAAATTGGAAAAAAATCTATGGAAAAAAAGTGAATTTTTTTGTAAATTTAGTGACCAGAATTTGGAAAAACTGACCTTGAATAGATACTTCAAAACCGTTAAAACCTTTATAAAACTCATTGAAAAATAAGCTTAAGCGAAAGATCAGGGATCCCAGAGAGTCTGCAGAGAATTAGAGTCGTTTTTCTCTGACGCCCCTTCAGACCGCCCTTGTCTCTCTTTTCTTTCAATTTTTCCCGGGTTCAACAAGAGATAACGGTCGTCTGAAGAGAGTTTAGAGAAGAAGAGTCACTTTTTTTCTCTGACGTCTCTTCGAGAAGTACTGATCTCTCGTTTTTTCACTAGGAAGCGTCGTTTACACCTTAAAAACCTGAAAACTGGAAAAAATAAGCATCCTGAAAAACCGACAAGGCTGATTTGATCTCATGACCGCACTAGGAATGGCTCCTGATTTTTTTTCAGTTTGAAAATGAGCTTTTTCGTTTTTTAGAATGCTCCTTTTTCCGTAAAAAAACTGTATGAAACCAATTTTTTTTAATTTTTTCCGTTTTAAAGATCATTTTCCTTGATTTTTAAATCTTTAGGATCCCTTCAAATCGCCCTGGCCACCGCCTTTTTCATCACCTGCATGCAGACGACGATCGCCGTGTCCAAAGGAGTCAAGGTGACTTCACTGTTTTTGTAAGAGGATTAAAATAAAATGTAATCGAAATCAATTATTATCCTTTTTAAACCGGTAAAGGAATTTTTAGTGTTTGAAATATTTTTCTTCAGAAATTCGAAGTTTCCGTCAGAGAAAGAGAAAGATAACTGAATTTTGGAGAGTCAGAGAAATTTTTTTCTGTTTTTTCAGGCTATTTGAGCCTCAGTCGGGCTAAAACGGGAGAAAAACAGTTGTTAAAAATAGGTTATCCAACGGGGCTGAAACGGTTTCTCAACTGGGGTGAAAGTTCTACCAGCGGTTCTTATACGGGCTAAATACGGGTGTACCCGCTTAGAGCCCGTATTAGCAAAGCTAGGCTTCCCTCAACATCATGAGAGATTTTTGGGGGTTTTTTTTCCAGATTTTTTGAGGATTTCTCTCCCTCTGTCACTTTTTTATCACGTTTTTCCGATCATTTTTTCTAAAAAAAGAGGCGTCAGCTAGAACGGTCGTCTGAAGAGAGTTTAGAGAAAAATAATATCTTTTCATCTCTGGCGTCTCTTCGGACTGCCCTTGATCTCTCGCTTTTCTTTTTCTTCCTTGCCCTTTTTCGAAAGTAATAGTCAAATATGGAAGGTGTTCATAGCTTCGGACGGCCAAATTTTTACTCAAAGATGAAATTTCCAGGACGCCTTCCAAATCGTCCTCGGCCTTCTAGTGGCCCTCGTCTATGTCGCCGTCACCGTCGTTTCTCTCGTCGTCGGGATTTTCGGTTGGTTTTTTGAAAGATTTTCTGGAAAATACGGACGGTTATGATTGTGTTGGTTCATGAAAATCTAGGTTGTAAGCATTGTTAATGAGGTTAGGCTCTCTAGAGACTTTACAGAATTCTTGAGGCTTATTCTAAATATTTAATAAAAGGAAGACTGAAAAAATCAAGGTCAAAGTTGGAAAAGAAATCCTGAAAACTGGAATCTGTAAAGTACGGACGGTTAGGATTATGTTGAAAAACGAAAAAGCAAGATTTAAAAAAAATTTTTCTGGAAATTTTTCATGTCAAGGGAAGACTTTCTAATGAGATTAGGCTGAAAGGTCAAGGCCTAAGTAGGAAAAATAATCTTGGAAACTGTAATCTGTAAAAGTACGGACGGTTTAATGTATGTGTCCTCGGAAAAAAACGAGGATTTTTTAATAATTTTGAAAATTATCAGATTTTAATGACTCTTTTATTGAGATTAGGTTCCCTGAAATCAGTTTTTAGCCCGATTTTTTGAATCTGTAATCCAAAAAAGGCCGGAAATGTCAGTGAAATAAGTTAAGGGCTATCAAAAATAGATTACTCTTTCAATTTTGAATTTTGAATTTTATTATCTTTACTGTATATAGAAACTTAATCCAGGATCGCTTTTTCGGAATTTTTTTCAAGCTTAATAATAAAAAAATAATATCAATTATATGAAGAAAAAAATCAAGTATGATCATCGGGGACAGCTCTATTCACCAATAAAAAAATTTTTTCTTTCATTTTCAAAAAAAGTAAAAAAATTTTTTTCATTAACCTTAATTTTAATATATATTTGAAATGTTCCTCAGATACGTAGAAAATGGAAATTTGGACAAATTTTCGAATAATTGATTTTTCAGGGTTCTACAAGACGCTCTGTATCGTCTCGTACGTGGAGTTCGTCGACCCGACCTCCGAATTTTTTTGCCCTCCCACGATTTTCTACACTTCTTTGATCGTCTTCATCCTCCACATCGTTCTCATTGTCGCCAAATGTTGCTGTTGTAAATAATCTTCCCAATTTTCCCGATTTTTTGAATGTTTTTTGAAGAGAAATGGTTGGGTGGAAGGTTGGAAGAGCCATTTTTGAATTTATCTTTTTGATTTTTTTATGGGCGACAAGATTTTTTTAGTTCGAAATTTTGAGGAAATTGGAGCCGACATTTGAAATATTTCGTTTTTTTAAAAATTTGAATTGAAAAAAACTGATTTTTTTGAACTATTTTTTTGACGAGAAATGGTTGGGTGGAAGGGTGGAAGAGCTATTTTTTTGAATTTTTTTAGATTTTTTTAATTTTTTTCATCCAAAAATCGTAGTGCATTTGGGTCAGTATAAGGAAAAAAACTTTCAAAAATTGAAAAAAATTGAAAAATAATAAGTTTGGAGCAAGTTAGCTCCAATGATAATTTGATCAAATTCTGGTCCAACTATGAAAAAAATGAGCCTTAAAAGCGTGAAATCGCAAAAACTGGGTTTGGAGCAAGTTAGCTCCATTGATAAATTGATGATTACTCTCTTTGCATCGACTTTTTCTAGAAAATTTAGCTTTTTGGCTGATTTTATTGTTTTTCAATAGAAAAGATACATTTAATGAAGCAAACTGTAAAAAAATTTTCAAAATCGAGAGAAACAGAGAAATCTCTCGCGTCTGGCGCCCTCCACCTTTCCTTCACTCTCTAACTTTTTTTCCCTTCATTAAAAAAATCGAAACTTTCTCCTCTTATCCTTCCCCTCCCCCCACGAAAAAAATCACCAAATCTTACCCGAAACTGGTATTTTCTCATCAAAAATGATCCCTTCTCTTTTTTTGATCAAAAATCACATATTTTTTTAATTTTATTAATCATCTATAATTGTAACATTGTAAAATATGCTTTAAGATAACATAAAAAAACAAAAAAACAACAAGAAATCTGTACCGGTACATGGGGACATAACAATAAAGAGCAAAGTGGCCACTTAAGTGGCTTTTTCGGCCCTTAAGGGGACTCGGATATTTCCAAGACGGATCAACTCGGCACCGTATTTCTCGTAGAGCGAGCCGCCTACCTGTAAGAAAACATGGTTTTTCCTTTTCAAATTATTGATTTTTAAGGTCTATTGGAAGCTGAAAAAAGTATGGGCAGGCTATTTTTCATATCACAAATGTGCTCCATGGCTAAAAATGCTATTTTTCGAGCTTGAGGCGGTAAGAATTGTTTGAGTTGAATCTCAAAACAGTTTTAGTTCAAAAAAAGAACTGGATCATAGAAAGGCCATTTTTCCATTCTAGCGCGCTCTATGGCTAAGCTTTCTTGTTAGAGTGGAAAATTAGATTTTTTGACAAAAAACAAATCTTTCTTTGATCAGAGTTTATGTGGGTTAAAAGACGACATTGCGCCGATCCGAAGGAAAATTCAGAAACATCTGATTTTCGAAGCATGTTTCCTTTTATTAGAGCTCATTATTAAAGCTAAAAATCTTTTGTTATTAAATTTTAATTTTGAAACTTTTTTCTGTGAGCTGAGAGATCATTTTTTTCGGATAAGCTTCTGACAATTAGATGTACAAAACATGAAATTTCAAGGTTTTTAAAAAAACTAGATTCTCCACTGACTTCAGAACTACCTCTACTAGGAAAATTTTTAGTGGCCACTATAGGGTTTTGACTTTTTAGTGGCCACAATAGTAGCCAAATTAGTGGCCACTTAAGGGGTTGAAAATTAGTGGCCCCTATAGAGGTCTTAGTGCTACTGTTAGACCACTAAAAGTGGCCACTTTAGGGGTGAATGGATCAACATAACTGATCCAATCTGTTTTTTTTTAATTATCAGAGTTACTGGGAGGAATACTGGATGAAAAACTACTGAAGGGGCCACTAAAACGGAAAATAGTGGTCACTATAAAGGTTGCTTTAGTGGCCACTTTAGTATCCTCTCCAAGTAGTCCTTGGCAAGCCTCTATAGTGGCCACTAAAATTTTTCCCAGTAAATAAAAACTTTTGCTCTCCAAGACTGCTAAAAAGCCAGCAAAATACAGAGGTCTTGAAGCGAAAATGCTCAATTTCGATCTAATTTGGTATACGGTACTTTGGGCGGAAAGAAAAACGTGACAAGCTTGCGGGCTATAGACTCATCAGATATGTCATTTTGCGCCCGACTCGCCGCGGGTTTACCTGAAAATCGGGCGCCGGTTCCCGCATTGTCAACGCGATCCGACGGCCAATTATATGTTGAGACAGAACGCCGTGTTTCCATAGGTATCTGGAAAAAGTTGGGACTTTTTGTCCCGATTTTCCCAAGGAAATACCTGGATTCATCGGCGATGCAGAGGAGGGACAGGTGAGGCATGTAAATGTAGCATAATTGTCGGGTATTTTCGTTTACGATCGTCATTACGGAGCCGCTTAGTAGGTTTATACTGAAAAATTAGGCATTTTTGAAGGTTTTGGGCTAGAATTTTGTAGGAAAATGAATCGAAATACAGTTTTATAGCTAGAATTTTGTAGAAAAAGGGATTTAAACACAATTTTGAAGATTAAAAATCATTTTAGTTGAACTTTGAGGCTATTTTTAATTGAAAGAAATAGTCATTTTTCTGAAATCTTATAAGGTCTGAATCTGAAAAATTAGAAATTTTCAAAACTTCAGAACGGAAAAATAAAATGTTTGAAGCCTTTTTAGGCAAAAAATACCGATTCATAAGATTTTTTCAAACATTATAACCCTTTTTATCTGAGCCTTTTAGTAATCTTATCAACGAAAGTTCAAATATTTATGAAAACATTGAAAAAGTAAAACCTGATTAACCGGTTGCCCCAAATCCACATATCGTCTTGATGCATTTCAATCGCGCTCTTTTTCCAGTCTACATACTCCAAATTACACATTTCAAAGGGTTGATAATTTCCTTAACAGTGAGATTACAATTAAAATTCACCAAAAAAAATTGAAACCTAGCCGCTTTTCATCATAGTTCTTCATACGGTTCAAAAGCATGTCGGCGTATTCTGGCATTCCTAAAAATGTTATATTTGTTAGTTTCGATACCAGAATGGTCAATTAATGAAGAAGAATTTTGAAATTCCGCGAAAAAAGAAAACTGTCGTCAAATAAAATGTTATTGTGCATACACCGTGGTCCACACACAGGCCACAACTACAGTAACCAAAAATTAATTTCTTCGGTGTTGTCATCATTTTTGTTTCATTTATGTTTCGAACTTACCAACAAACGTGTCCGTTTTCACTTTTTTGCCTTTGAAATTGACTTTCGGGCCGTAGTCCTGGAAATTTCCATTTTTTTCATTTTTTATATTATTGTATCACCTGTTTCCGACGCCCAGACTGAGATTCGACCCAATCAACGGTATCAATCATGTTCCCTACAAGGTCGGCCTCTTCCTCTTGGCTCAGGAAATCTTCGATTAGAAGAAGTCCTCCGATTTTTATTGTACCTTCTTCTGGGGCATTCTTGGAGTTTTCCGTTTCTAAAATCATGATTTTTGTGAGAAATTGTGGCTTCAGGTTTATTATTTTTTATTCTAAATTCAGGGCAGGAATTTTTTCGAAGAAAAGTACCAGGAAATAGTAATTGAAAGCTTTTTTTGATTATTGTGAAGAAAATTCTTAAAACGAGGCAAGGAGCTCAATTTTTCCACCATTTTACCTTGGACAATCGCTTCAATGCTCGCATTTGAGCCAAGTTGGCTCGAAGGGACCGCGATATCGCGACTTCCATCGTAAACAAAAACCCGAAAATCCCTATAAGGATCGCCTTCTTGTCGCAGCTTCTTCACGCGATCCGTTTCTTCGCAAAGCGCACAAAATCGCACGCCTTTACAGCCGCAAGTCCGTGGCACCACGGCCATTTCTGAATGCAACTTATTTTTGAAGTTTGAGTTGAAAAAAAAATAGGAAAATAGCAGACAGAACGAATGAAAACGAGACGGTTTTTTTCGAATATTAAAAAAGCGTCCTTTTTTTCCATCTCGTTTTCCTGTTTCTAATTAAAATCAAAATCACAAACAATGAAAATTCGATAATTTCACGGCTTGCTATAAAGTATTTACAAAATGCAATCGCTTTTTTTGTGCTCCACTGCAAATTAATAAAATACGGGCGTTTCTCAATCTTAACTCTTTCGTCTTTTTCTGATAATTTTTTTCTCAAATTTTTTTAATTCTCCCTGTCTTTTCTTTTTGAAGAGAACTATTCATAATAGTACTACGACGAAATAATGAACTCATTATGAAAAATTTTTTTATTGCTCAAAAAAACTTCTCAATAGGAGCTTTAAAAAAACGATTTCATACAGTTTATGAATCTGTAATAAACCGGAAACAATATGAAAAAAATGACTACGTGAATAAATAAATCTTGAAAAATGGTTTGATAAACAATACTATCTAAAAATACAAAAAAAGACATCACTGTAAAAAAAGAAAGCTATCGAAAAAAATTAGAATTTCGTTCAATTTTAAAAAAATAATGAAAAATTCAAAAAAACGCCCGTATTTTATTAATTTGCAGTGGAGGACAAAAAAAGCGGTCGTATTTTTTTAATATGAATTTTATAAATAATAGCTTTTTTTATTGAAACAAAAAAATGTCGATAGAAATTCAGAAAGTTGATGAAAAACAGTAATAAAGAAAAACATCAAAAATAGAAAAAAAGTTTTTTTTGAGTCAGAAAAAAATGAACGAGGCCCGGCAAGTCTTTTTAATAATTCTATATGTCTATTAAACAGGATTTTAATGGAAAATGACTTTCGTTCATTAAAAAATGAGAAGAAACCGGACGATACTCAAAAAAACTGCTCGTATTTCAAAAACTAAATGAAAATTCATAAACCCCTGTTTTTTTGAGGGTAAGAATATTTTCAACAAACAATACAATTACTATCAGAACTTCTGAAAAATCAGTAAATTTTATGTGGATCGGAATATTTTGCTAACAATTGAATGGAAAAATTGGTATTAAAAGAAGAAATGTAAAAAGTTTTTTTCGTTTTTTTACAAAAAAAGGCAGAAAGTGCGCGCTACGGCGAACAAGTTGTCACTGTAGCGCGGAGCCGGGAATTTTTTTCTTGTTGTTTTTTTCCGAAGGTTTTCCAAGTTTTGCGCGATCGCTTCGAGACCCGGGCGATCAACAGTGTCCTGATACGGTTCGACGTGTGTTAACACGGTCGGAGGGAGTAGTGATGATAGGGATTTGCACGCATGATATGCGGGGCCGCGGTATCGATCGCCGCTCCCTGTTTGCTGCCGGCTTTTAATGACTCACCTCAACAACGGTGTTTCGTCGTTCCTGATTCGACCTTTGTGTGTACAAAAATCAGCTTAAATTTGATGATTTCATTGATATTTCGACGGTTTTTGTCATCTTTGAATCATATAGTTTTGATTGGAATCCCGACATTTGAATTTTGTTTTTTTACCTTTTTAAGGTTAATTTTGAACCTGATATTGTGATTGGACCTTCTTGTATACAAAAAAATCAGCTGGAAATTGATTATTTTATTGTTAAACCGACGGTTTTTTTTATCATATTTACATCGAATCGTTTTGGATTGATTCACCTCGGTTGAGAATTATTTTTTTCTAATTGCCTGGGAATTATTTTTCGAAATTCAAAAATTTGATCAAACATTTGTGGGAAAAACCAACTCAAAAATTGACATTTTTATGAGAAATTATATTTTTTTGTGGTTTTTGATTCAGATTATTCTTTTTTTTCCGTTTTCCCATCACTTTAAAAAACGTGGGAATGTAATATTTCGAATTTTTTCTACTTTTTCAAGAGCTTCTGTTCATTTTGATCAATCAGTTATCGTAATCACTGATAAAATTATCTTTTTCGCTAATTTTTTCGTTTTTTTTTGAACTGGGAAATTTTTTTAAATTTAATTTTTTTGGTGATAATCTATATTTTTTTCAAGTTTTATTCCTGTTAACAATAATCTGTAAAAATTTTTTTTTGAGTTTCATGGCTGTTTTGAAACCGTGTATTGAGATAAATTATACTTTTGTTTTTTGAACTAAAAAAATGGATTTTTTTTCTCATTTGTATTCTTTTAAAACGTCATAATATTGATAATTCACGTTTTTCTGGAACATTTTCACGTTTTAAATATATTATTCACCGCGTTACGTAAAAACGTGTTCATAACAAAAGGTTATTTGTAAATTATTTTTCATTTTTCGGGTTTTATATGACGTGTTGCTTATTTTTCAGTTGTAAAGGATTTTTTTGGACTTTTCAAAGCGTTCTTTTCATTTGGATTAATTGTTTTATTTTCTTTGAAGCTCCCCTTTTTTTTAAAGCCGATTGTAATAGATTTATGCATTGAAATTCGTTCGGAAGATGATTTTTCACCCCTTTTAAGAGGTTTAAAGGTTATTTCTCATGTTTTTTCGAGCTTCCAGTGGTATTTATCGTTAACTGGATGCTTTTCGAAGTTATTAGACATTTTCAGATGCTTCAGTTGATGAAAACGTAACATTTAGGAGAGGTTTAGAAGCTTGGAAAGGAGTTCAAAAAATGTCTTGAGCTGTATTTTAATGAATAAGCTGTCCAATTTGTTATTTTGTACACTTTTTCGAAATGTTTTGTAACTTTTTTTCTTTAGATTTATTATTTTTCACGGTTTTTTTCTGAGCCGTTTTTTTCGTGTTATCCGAGTAATTTTCAATAATTTTTCAAGTTAGAGGTGCTCCTAACGTTTATTTCTCCATTGAACATGAGGAAAAGGGTCATTTTTTTCCTAGATTTTCAAGCGTTTCATAAGTTTTCAAGGCTTTTTTTGTCATCTCATTAAGAATGAATAAAAATACCATTTTTCATAGATTTTCAAGCTTTTTTTTGAAATTTGTATGATGTTGTTGCTTCCTTTATCATTTTTTTCGACGTTCTATTCCGTTTTTTTCGCTTTCCCGGACTCTTGTCATGAAATTTCACTTCAAATTTGAATTTCGACACGTTGATTTTTTTATCAAGAATGAATAAAAAAATATCATTTTTTTCATGGATTTTACAGCGTTTTTATTTTTTTTTAAGTTCAAGTTGTTGCTTTTTTAGATTTTTCGGCGTTTTTTTGATCCGTTTTTCCGTGTTTTTCAACTGTTTTCATAAGATTTGACCCAAAGTTTGAATTTTCAGACGCTCGACACGTTAATTTCCGACCGGAAAGGAATAAAAATAGGGTTTTACCGGTCGCTGTGAGCCACGAAAGCTGGCAAGGTGGTCTCCGTCGCAAAACGTGTGTGTTGAATGCATGTGAGGAGGGCCAAAACGAGCCTTTTTGCGTCCCCCAATGGCTCCGGCTTCCGTCAAACCGGGCGTCATCAAGGTCTTGTTACTATAAGAATTTTTTTTAAAGATTATTTGGGAAATTCGGGATTTTTTTGGTGTAAAATGGACGTTTTTGGAGGATTTTGAACATTTTTACAGGATTTTTTTGAAAAATTTCCAGAAAATGCGCGATTTTTTTCAGTGGTATTTTGAAGCTTTTGCGGTCATTTTTCATCATTTTTTTACGAAATTTTCCGAAAATCGATAGAAAAATTTGCGATCTTTTGGTGTAAATTCGAAATTTTTGAGAGTGAGCTTTTTTTACAGAGTTTGTTCCAAAAATTTCTAGAAAAATCCGCGATTTTTTTCATTTTTTTATTTTTTTAATTGAATTTTTTTAGAGGTGAAAAAAATGGCTCCACAATTATTTTTCGAGCTTTTGTCGCTTTGGGGATTTTGAATTTAATTTTTGAAGCCCACTTCTCAATTTTGTTATTACAATCGCTTTGATGATATGAAATTACACAAAATTATAGAGAAAAACTATATTTTTGGTCTTTTTCTCGTGGAAATTGCATGAAATTGAGTCTTTTCAGGCTATTTTGAGCATAATTATAGGCTTTCCGATTTTTCCAAGAAGATTTATTTTTGCCCTGAAATGGCAGGTTTCACTCGTAAGGTTGTTGTTTAAGATAGAAAAAAAAAATAATATATGAGCTCGTTTTTTTTGAAAACTTGAGGTGAAATTTTCGAAAAATCAATTTTAATAATAAGAGTTCAGAAAATGGCTCAGAAAGCTTCAAAAAAAGTAATTTTCCGATCCAAAAACGATCATTTTTGCATGATTTTTAGCGTTTTTCAAGTGATAAGCTGGGAATGTATAGGTAATAAAACGATAAGAACAAGTTTTATGGTTCTTGAGTTTATTGCTGATTTTTTGTCAAACGGAACATTTTTATCGGGGGTTTTTGAGGCAAAAAAATAGGATTTTGGGCAGAAAAAAAGGGAGTTTTTGAGCTTTTTCAATGGTATTTTTTTTATGAAGGAGCTTTTAATTTTGAAATTTTGTTGGAAGGTGTTTGAATAAAGAAGAAAAAAATCAGTTGATAATAATTTTTTTCGGAAGTTTTAGTAGTGCAATAGAAAGTTGAGCAGGAAAAATGGAATTTTTTTAGCTTTTTTTGATGGTTTTTTTCATTGGTCAAAAAGCTTTCGATAGAGAAGAAAGATAGGATAAAAATAATATTTTTTTCATTTCAAAATGGCGTTTTCGAGCTTTTTTTAATTATTATTTTTTGAAACTTTGAACTTTTCGATAGTTTTTTTCTCAAGTGTACTTCAAATGTTTAAATTCAGTTGGAAGGACTTTGAATAAAGATGAATATCAGAGAATTTTTATAATTTTTTTTCTTTGAAGGATAATTAAGTAATTTAATGAAAAATTGGGGCAGTAAAAGCAAATTTTTCTAGCTTGGATTTTTTTCTTCTCATTAATTGGCTTTATATCTTCCTTTGGAATGATTGAGAAAATAATACTAATTATCAGTTTTATTTTTATGTTTATGGTTGGAAATACTTGAGATATAGCTGATCGGCTGGCTTGAGCCATCGGAAAAAAGGTTCCTGGCACGATAAGAAATGAGATAGTGCTTGATTGGTGGAGGGCGCAGACAGGCCACGCCCCTTAGCGTCCCAAGTTATCCGTGAATCGACTATAGAGAAGAAAAATCAGATAAAACAATGATTTTTTTGGTCGTTAAGATGAAAATATTGCAGGACCCAACGATCGCCGCGTTATTCAGCAATAAGGATCCGGAGTCGCGGTATCAGGACCTCCGAGAGATCGGCCATGGCTCCTTCGGCGCCGTCTTCTTTGTAAGATTGGGAAAAAAATGATTCTTTGTGAAAAAATGAACAGAAAATTTGAAATGAGCTCGAAAAATCTGGGTAGAAATGGAATTTTTTTGGTCGTTTTCAGGCTTATTTTTTTGAGAAATACGGCGCCGTTTTCTCTTCTTATTTTTTTCAATCAAATCGTGAAAAAAATTTTTTTTTGAAAACCAGCTGGAAAAAATTCGTAGTAAACTCAGAAAAAAACTAGGTAAAAGGGAAATTTTCGGACGTTTCTGGATTAAATTTGCGCTTTTGAAAATTTCCTAGGCCTTTTTTTATTTTTTTCATTACTTTCCTATGAAAAAATTTACCAGGAAATTCCTTTTTTTATTCTTAAAAAGGACGAGAAAAATAAGCTCAAAAAAACTGAATTTAAAGAAGATTTTTTTGACTGTTTTTCCGTCATTTTTTTCTATTCGAATCGGAAGAAATTTGACCTTTTCATGGAAAAAAAGAGCAGGAAAGGCAGTAAAAGCTCAAAAAAATCTTGGTAGGCATGTGGTTTTTTTCACGAATTTTTTTCTGGTTTTTTTAAAATTGTAAGTTCTAAATTTCGATTTTTTTGAGAGCGAAATTTAGAGAGCGAAATTCAAAAAAACTACTTCAAATTGTTGGAAACTTTTGGAAACTTTCAAGTTTTTTTCCATAGAAAATGGTTAGTTTTATTTTTCAGGAATTCAAAAATTCACGATTTCAGGTTAAAATAATTGGACAATTGAAAGAAAAAAATGCTGCAAGTGAAAAAAATTAAAAAAATTAAAAAAACAATCTCATTTTTTTCGAATATTTTTTTCAAGTTTCAGAGTTGTTTTCTTAATTATTTTTTTGAGATATTTTTCCGGAACAAGTCGGGAGGAATTCATTCCTTAGTTATCCTCCAAATGAAACGTATGCTTGGCAGGCATTCGACAAGTCGCGAAGCGAGACGGTCGCCATCAAAAAGATGAACTTCTCCGGGAAACAGGCGTCCGAAAAATGGTCCGACATCATCAAGGAGGTCAAAAATAAACCGCTTTTATCCCCGGGGTTTTGATGAACTCAGGAAATGTAGAGGGGTCTCTGGAGGGGAACATTTGAAGATCCCTTCTAGGGATTTTTTTTTGGCTAAAGTGGCCTAAACGTCTCCATCTAGCTTTCTAAATCAGAAAACATCACTTTAGGGACCACTCAAAATGTAGGTTCTTTCGGAGGGGTCCCTAGAGGGGCAAATTTAAAGACCTTTGAAGGCCCCCTTTTAGGGATTTTTCGCAAAATTGGCTGCTCTAAAGGAGGGACGCCAGAGTGGTCACTATATGGATCAAGGAGGTCAATACATCTGTTCTATGGGGGTATGAAAAACAAGATTAGCGAAATTTACGTTGGCGAACTAATCGAAGACCGCAAAATCGCGGGCGGTGTATGCCACCGTGTATGCATACTGTTTGCGAAAAAAATCAATAAACACCTTTCCGACGGAACTTTTTCCGACTTTTTGCCTTTTTCAAATTTTTTTGGATTTCGTCACTCATTTTTTTGTTTTTTTCTGTTATTTCATCTTTTTCATCGCATTATGATCCTTGTATCGGAAAAAAAGACCTCAAGTTTTTGTTTGAAGTAAAAAAATTTTTTTGGAATAATTTTTCGTCGTGATGGCTGTTGGAACATTGTTTATAACAGTTTTTTTTCTGCGTTTCAATTACAGAATGAGTGAAGAAGAAAAGAGCTATGAGAGAAACATTGGATGACATGCTTGATTACTTGAGTGACGCTGATTCCTACAAATCTGTAAGTTATTGTTTTCGTTTCGGGCAACATCAAAATTTCCTATATCTTTCACATTCTTCTCGTGTCATTTCTTATTTTTCCAATTTCTTGTTTTATTTCATTTTCTTTCACCATAGTCCATAGATTTGTTGTTTCCAAATCTTTTTTTTTCATTGACATCGTTTCCTATCGATAAATATATTGTTATCGAGAAAAAAATTAGGAACAATGCGTACCAGAGGATCATAATGCGATGGAAAAAGATGAAATAACAGAGAAAAACCAAAAAAATGAGTGACGAAATCCAAAAAAATTTGAAAAAAAGAGGCAAAAAAAGTCGGAAAAAAAGTTCCGTCGGAAAGGTGTTTATTGATTTTTTTGCGCAAACAGTATGCATACACGGTGGCATACACCGCCCGCGATTTCGCGGTCTTCGATAAGTTCGTCAACGCAAATTTCGCTAATCTTGTTTTCATACCCCCGTTCTATGATGGCACTTGGATCCTCAGAGTGGTCCCTAGAGGGGCAAATTTGAAGGCCCCTTTTTGGGATTTTTTGCAAAATTGGCCACTTTCGGGGAGCATGTCAGGGGTCCCTGTACGATCTTCTAGCTTTTAAATCAGAAAAATTCAATTTAGGGATTACTTAAAATGTAGGGGCTTAGGAACGCCAGAGTGGTCCTAGAGGGGCGAATTTAAAGGCCTTTGAAGACCCCTTTCAGGGAATTTTTGTAAAAGTGGCCGCTATAGGAGAGCATGTTAGTGGTCCCTGTACGTCTCTTTCTAGCTTTCAACTGAGATCAAAAAAAAAAAAATCTAGAGATCACTTTAGGGACTACTCAAATTGTAGGGGCATAGGAACGCCAGAGTGGTCCCTAGAGGGGCAAATTTGAAGGTCCCTTCTAGGGATTTTTCGCAAAAGTAGTCACTTTAGGCGAGAATATTAGGAGTATGTAGGTCTAGCTTTCAAATGAGAAAAGTAAAATCTAAAGATCACTATAGGGACTACTCAAAATTTAGGGGCTTCGCAAAACCAGAGTGGTCCCTAGAGGGGTCTCTGAGGGTCTCCCTTAACTCTTTTTTTAGTGTTTTTAACGAAAAAATCCGTTTCCAGGTGACTTTTCTCAACAAAATCAAACACGAACATATCGTCGTCTACAAGGCGTGCTTCTTGAAAGACACGACTTGTTGGGTTCGTTTTCTTTTCGATTTACAAGGGAAAAAATTTCGATTTTTAAGGAAGTATACTCTTTTTAACGTGGAGAAAGGAAGGAAAAATCGTTTTTTGTGTACTTTTGCCGAAAAAATTGAAGAAAAAAAGGTCTTTTAGAGCGAATTTTGTAGTATTTTTGTGACATTTCAGTGTTTTTCGAACCAAATTTTGAATGGAATCGACGGAAATTAGGTATTTAGATAGTTTTTTATGAATTTTTGGCTGATTTTGTGGAATTTCTTGAAAAGTTTTCAGAATAAAGGCCTTTTTAAGCGAATTCTGTAGTATTTTTGTGACATTTGAAGTTTTTTCGAAACAAATTTTGAATACGATTGACGGAAATTATATATTTAGATAGTTTTTTTGTAAAGTTTATTTGTTTTAGTGTCTATTTAAAACACAATTTTGAGCTCTTAAAGTCGAGAATAATCATTTTTTTCTTTGAATTTTTGCTCGATATTAATATTTATTCTTCAGCTGGTCATGGAATATTGCATTGGATCGGCGGCGGATATCGTTGATGTTCTGAGAAAAGGCCTCCGCGAAGTGGAAATCGGCGCCATTTGTGCTCAGACCCTAGAGGTTTTCGATTGAAAATGAAGAATGGAAAATTTCTGAAGAAAATCCGACATTTCAGCTTATTTTCATTGATAAAAATCAGGTTTTCTCTGGTTTCTTGAGCTTGAATAACATTTTTTTTATCCCCCCACTTTTTTCTTCTTGTTCTGTAAGCAGGAGGTCCTGAAGTTTTGCAACTTTTCAGCAAAAGTTCAAACTTTGGGGGCGGGGGGGTTTCGTTGAAATTACATGTGACGAGTTTTTATACCGACATTTTAGCTTATTTTTTTATTGATTAAAAATCAGATTTTTCTCTGGTTTCTTGAGCTTGAATTAGTTTGAAACTATCCCCCAAGTTTTCCTTGTTTTGGAAGCAGGAGGTCTTGAAGTACTCTTTTTCACCCCCCTAAATTTTTTTCCTTGTTCTGTAAGCAGGAGTTCTTGAAGTAGTACTACACTGAAGCAAAAGTTAAACCGAAGGGGGTAAAAACTTTTAACGTTCTTTAGTAAAAATGATTTTTGGCTGGAAACTTCAGATGAATATCGATGATTTCCAGGCCCTGCACTACCTGCACTCCTTGAAGCACATCCACCGGGACATCAAAGCCGGAAATATCTTGCTATCCGATGCGGCCGTTGTCAAACTTGGTGAATATGAAAAACATTTAGTAAAATGATAGGGAAAAGGCTTAAAAATTGCGAAAGTATCTTTTTTGCACCTTGAAAATAGTTGAAAGTCTTTTAAATTTGCAGAAAACCAACTTAAAACGTCAGATTGAAAAAAAAAAAACAGATTTTGTCCATTAATTGATCAGCGAAGTATCACACTTGAATACATAGACAACGACAGAAGGGTCGAAAAAGTCTCTATAGTCCCTTTTTGCTGCCATTTTGCGCCGTTTCCTGGGCTTTTTTGCGTTATTTTTGCTGCCTCTCTCTTTTCCACCATATCTTGAGCCTTCAAAATTCCAGAAAAAAAATGGAAGGCCCCATAAAGGGACTTATTTTGGTGCCTTTATGCGGCCATTATCCACCATTCCGACTTTGCCCGAGACTGAACAGCATCCAAATTGGATTTTAATAAAGAATTTGAAGATATAGACAAGATTAGAACCTTTTTTTCTATAAAAAAATTCTGTTGGATAAGAATGAATTCAGCGATTAATTTTCTTTTCTCAAGCCTCCATTTTCCCAAAACCTGTACGAAACTTCAGTAAGAAGGAAGTTCGTTCCATGAATAAACTTAAAAAGTGTCATTTTTGAGCTCATGTGACATTTTTGATGGGTGACTTTGCCTTTATGAAGTTATCACTTTTTTTTTTCACACGTGCTTTTTTAAATAATTTTTTCCTCGTTTCAAAATCAGTTTGAAATCTTCTCAAATTCTCCCTTTTTACGATTTGCTAGATTTTTTTTGCCCAAGTTTAATTTATAACAGTTTTAAACAACCCACCTTCTTAGGAAATCCAGAGCGGTCCCTATAGGGGTTAGGGGAACAAACAGCCCCTATAGGGAACGAAAAAGTGGTCCCTATAGGAGTTTCGTGGTTTGACCCCTTACGCCCAAAGCTCAAGTGGACCCTATAGGATCAATTTCATTCAAAAAACGCTTATTTATTCAGTTTTTCACATGGAAATGCTTCTTCACTTCGAGTTCATAACAATCATCGACTAGCTTGTCCCCTATAGGGACCATTCTGGAGTTGCTAACTTTTTCTTTATAGAAAATGCATTTTTCACTTCACGTCAACTTTTCTTTATTGACCTTTATCTCCTCTATTTTGGTCATGGAAGTTGGTTTCCCTACGTTTCGAAACGAATCGAAATAAGCAAAGAACTTCATTGAAAAGTTATTAACAGGCAATTTCTCGCTGCATTAATATGATTTTCGTTGATTTTCCCATCATTTTGAAGTGTGAAGACTTTATTTTTTGGGACATTATGATTTTTCAACTGTTAGGACACTTTTTTCGCTTATCACTTTGAAAAGGTCCTAAGTAAAGACCTGAAAAAATCACTTTTAGGATTTTCAAAAGTGTTTTTTTAGGAATTTTCATGTTGGGCTATGTATTTAGACTTTTTCTTCAAGAATTTTGATTTTTAGGAAATTTTTGTTAGCACCTTTTCATCATTTCTAACGTTGGGAATATTTTTTTTTGCAATTTTTATGTCTTTCTTTTCAGATTTTCTAGATTTTTTGCCTGAATCCCTAACTAGAATGAAGTATTTCATTCAGAAACCTTTTTAAGATGGAATAAATTTGCAGCGGACTTCGGGTCGGCCTCGTTGATCAACCCGGCCCAAACCTTCATCGGAACCCCGTTTTTCATGGCCCCCGAAGTGATCCTGGCGATGGACGAGGGCCATTACACCGACCGGGCCGATATCTGGTCCCTCGGGATTACCTGCATTGAACTCGGTTGGTTTTGGGGGAGATATACAGCAAAAATAGCGATTTTTTGAGCTGAATTTTGAGAAGAAAGTTTGAAAGAAAAAAAAAATATTTTTCAGCCGAACGAAGGCCGCCGCTGTTCAGCATGAACGCCATGTCCGCCCTGTACCATATCGCCCAAAATGAGCCCCCGACCCTTGCCGAAGTCCCGTCGGGTCAGCCCGCCTGGTGAGGAAACAAAATAAGGAAGAAATACACCTAAAACACAAGAAAAAACACAGAAAATTGCAGAATTTTCGAAGAATTGACAGCAAAAATATTGTTGAATTTACATTTTTACCCGATGGCCAAATCACTTGGTACTCAGGGACTCCAGAGTGGTCCCTATAAGGGCCCTTGGAAGGTCCCCCCTCTGGACCACTTTACCAACCCCTATAGGGGCCACTAGAGCTTGCAAAAGTGACCCCTATAGGGGACGAATGCTATGAACTCCAAGCAAAAAACTAAATAAATAAGCGTTTTTGAGTGAAATTGAGAGACCCCTATAGGGTCCACTTGAGCTTAAGGGGCTAAGGAAACCCCTATAGGGACCACGTTGATTTTACCCGTATAGTGACCACTTTTTCGTCCTCTATAAGAGATGTTTTCTGCCCTATCCCTATAGGGACCGAGCTTCAGGGGCTAATGGGTCAGACCCTAAACCCCTATAGGGAACATCTTAATTTTACCCCTATAAGGACCAGTTTTTCCCAATTTGATTTTTCTTTATTCTTTCTATAAATAATGTCGTTGTATGTCCCCGGAATTTTTTTAAATAATAATTTGTTTATGCACATCGGAAAAATAGTAAAACGAAAATATACAGTTTATTAAAAAATAAAAGGCTTCTAAAATGAAATGAGTACAGCATTTATTCGATTTTCGAACATTTCAATCGAATTTTGTCATTTTAGGTCCCCGGAATTTGTTGATTTCGTCGACCGATGTCTGAGGAAACCGGCGGAAGAGCGAATGTCCAGCGCCGAATGTAAAAAGGTTCATTTTTACCCCATTTTTCCGTTTTCCATTGATTTTGAGCTCTCTCTTTGCATTTCCCATGATTTTTCATCTTTCAGCACCCTTTCATCACCCGAAATCGACCACGAGACGCCATCCATGAACTTATTAATCGAACCAAATCCATGGTTTTTTATTCCAATGATTTTTGTGATTTTGTTGATTTTTAGGTAATGGAATTAGACAATTTCCAGTACAAAAAGATGCGAAAACTGATGTATTTGGACGAGGCTGAAGGAAGGGACAGTGAAACCAATGGTAAGGGAAATGGGACATTTTTGATGTTTTGAGAAGGCTCGAAATTGATAAAAGGAAGAAAATAGACATTTTTTGAAATTTTGATGTGAATTTTGAGTTTTAAATGGTAGATTTTTGAAGTTTCTGAATGGAAAAATTAATTTTTGGGCAAAATTTCTGAATTACTACTGAAATTCTGATCAAAATCAAGTTTTTCTCAAAGGAGTTTCTTAAATTTTCAAGGTTTTTGGAATGTAAAAATAGAACTAAAAAGGTTTTTTTAAAAATTAAAAAAATTGATTTTTTTACATTTTTTTCTAAGCGTTTTAGAAGCTTTAATTATACTTTCAGATCAAAAAATCAGAAGAAAAAAGAGATTTTCAGGGGAAATTGGGATAATTTTTTTGAGTTTTCTGAAAAATTCTCATGATTTTTAGGCCTCCTCGAAGCTTTATTCGAGGAAAAAAATCTCATTTTCAGAAAAAAATAATAGTTTTAACTAGGAAAAAAAGCCAGTAAAATAAGGAGCTTTCTGAGATTTTTAACTCATTACTTTTTTTGAAAAAAATGATTAGTTTTGAAGCAGGTTGAAATTTTTTTAGTATATTCATTCCTTATACTAAAGATTTTTGAAGAATTTATAAATCTAAAAACACTTTTTATGACCCATTTTCATCAAACTCCTGACCGCTGTGTACAATTTACTACCTTTTTGAGGGCTTTTTTTAAAAATTAATTTTAATGATTTTTTTGATTTTCTGTTTTTCCCGCACTAATGAAATGCTGAGAATATTTGGTTTTTCTTGTCCTGATTATGTATTTTTTTCAGTTTTTTTTAATCTTTATTCAAAGATACCGGCTCTATGAAAATGTTTATTTGGAACTTTCTTTACTTTTTATTTCGTTTTTTTACATTGAAAAAAATGGGCAAACACAGAAAGGTGTTAAAGTTTTTGAAGCCTAAGAAATACATTTTTTTCGCGTTTTTGAAAAAGCTTTTTTGAAAAAAAATTGAACTTTCTTCAGTTAAGTTGATGATATTTTAAAGATCGAAGTTCGATTTTTTTCAATTTTTTTAATGATTATTATTGTTTTTTTAAATCCAAAATAACTGGATTTTGAGGGATTTTTGAGCTTTTTTTCAGAAGTTTTTTTGATTAATTTTCATTGAGCCGAAAGTTTCTGAAAGTAGAGAAAAATAGGTTTTTTTGACTTTTTGGTTCTTTTTCGATCGTTTTTTTGATTTTCTATTGATAATTTTCCCAAAAGGGTGGTGATTTTTGATTTTATACATTGACTAAAAATACTTGGTTTTTCTTGTCCTCACTCTATGACTTTCTTTGAGTTTTCTGTTCAGCCCATTTTACAGATTCCGGCTCGGCTCGAATCCTCTTCGCCGGCGGCTCCGAAGACCTGGACGACAACGTCCCGGAAGCCTTGTCCCTCGGAAAAGGTCCTCAAAACGTCCTATTTTCAGTCTTTTCCATACATCGGCTGGGCTCCTCACCTAGCCTTTGGCGCGTTTGAAAATGTACTGAAGTAGGCAGCTCTTTTTTTAGGGGGAAGCAGTTTGAGACCCCCAGGGTGAGATCCAGCCGACGTATGGTCTTTTTTCCGATTTTCCTCACCCCACTGAAATTCTTTTCGATTGACGCATGTTTTGTGTTGACTTTCTGTGGCGTCACACGGGTGTTTGCAAATTATTCATCTTTGGGCAAACTTTTGGTGGAATTTTGTCTGGGGTTTTTGAGTTTGGGAAGGAGGGGATCGAAAAAAGAAAAAATTTACCTGGAAAAAGAGAAAGTGAGTTTTCAAAGATACTTTTTGTCAAAACTCAAGTTTTAATACTAAAATGCTCTAGGAAATTGTAATTTAGTTGATTTCATAATGGAATATTTCACTTTTGTACCTCAAAACTTTCAAAAAACGCCATGCGAAGAAAACAGTTTTTTTCTTTGAATTTTTTGGATTTTGAAAAAAAATCAGTTCATTTTGCGCCTCGGAATTTTATGAAAGTCTCTTTGAACATTCTCTGAAGCTCTAGAAAACGATTCCTCGTATCCGCTACCTTCAGAAAATTCCATTTTTTGAGCTATGACTATTTCAATAATTTTACTTTTTTCTCTCCTAAAACTTTTCTAGCCAATCTTTGAGTTTTCCAAACCGCCAAGTTAAATTCTTCCTTGTGAGGTTGGAACTTATTTGATTTTTTTGAAGCCATCTTCCTGGGAGTGAAAGTATTCTTTGATATTTGAAAAAATTGGAATCCCTTAGTTATGTCGGAAAAGATACGAAAAAAACGCTTTATTGATCAAAAATTCCTGTTCAGGGATTTTCATTTTTCTGGAACTTTCTGGAATCATGATGACTGTTATTTGTATCACTCTGGTGAAAAAAAAATCCGTTCGAAGAAAAATGCACTTAACTAGGGGTGAAATTTTGATGAGACTTGACTGAAATGTACTTGAGGGCCTCTTGGTTCTAGAAAGAGGAAGAAAAATCTCTCTTGATTGGTTTGATTTTCGAGGGTTTTTTTGTCATAATTTGCTAATTTTGCAATCTTAGAAGCTTCATAAACGAAAAAAAAAGTCCATAAAAAACGTTCTGTGGTTAGAAAGTTTCGAAAAGATTGAGGTCCAAGGAAGTTATGAGAAAAAACAATTTTTTTTGATTTTTGAAAGAATGTTTTCTAGCTGGTGATTCGACGAGCTCGCGGAGCAACTCGTTGGCCTCGTTCCGGTCGATGCAGAGCAGCGGCGGCGGAGGTCTCGCCGTCTCGACGTCGACTACTGGCGGCGTCGGCGGATCCTCCACCTCCGCTGTCCGGAAAAGACCGACCATCCTGAACAGTGCCCTGACGAGAAGCGTCGACATGACCTCCAGCTCCTCGCAGGTGGAATATCTCTCTTAATTTAGAAGGAAAAAGGGGTATTGGGCCAGAAGGTCTAGGGGTCATGGAAAGGCTTAGATTTCGAGAAAAAGAGCCAAAATCTTGATGAGTTCTCAGGAACATATACGGTAGCTTATAAAAGTAATCAAGTTTGCAGTTTTTGACAACTTTTCAAGTCTTCTTGTCAAATTTCTAATTTTTTCGACGATAATCAAGGTTTCTAGATACTTTTTTCGTTGAAAGAAAAAAAAATGAAGAAATGTATTTTTTTGAAAGGTGTAAAAATATATTCAAGACCTAGAAGCCACGGGAAAATCTCAAAAATTAGAATAAGAAAGAAGAATTTGACAACGAAATTTTTTTCGCCTTTATTCGCAACAGTTCTCGATTCCAAACACTTAGATTTTATGAAAAATGGCTTTCCAGAAAGTTATGCGAAAATTATCAATTTCAAAAGTTTAAATCAGACTGCATTTTTGTGTATAAGCTCAAGGATTCTATAGCTCGTTTTCACATTTGAAGATTCCTTCCAATCCAATTTTTTTCCATGACTTGGGTCGGAATTTCAATTTTGACTGATTTTGAGGTGAAGAAATGAAAACTATAACCCCAGTTTATCTTTCTCGCTGAAAATTGGTTCAATTGTTTTTTATTCAGTGGAATCAATAAGAGAGCTTTTTTTTTATAACAATGCAATCCAATTTTTCCATTGAAGCGAACACCCCACTGACAGTTTTGAATATGAAACTTGGTTCCATTGGTTGATTCCAGGGACCGACGATGATCCCGGTGGGAGACGTCTCCCTGGGGACGAGCTCCCACGACGCCGACGAGTCGGAGAGAGACGACGCCAGCGGCAGCCGGGCGCCCTCTCCGCCCATTGCTGTGACTGCCCGCGACCTCCATCTTCATAACCTCAGGGTGAATGGGAGGGATGACATGATGAAGAGAAGATGATCAGGATTTTCTTCAGAAAGAAAACATTTCTGACGACTTTTTCCTAGGAAAAAAAAAGTAAGGTGCTGAAAAAAGATGATTTTTGATATTATTTTGGCGTTTTTTTGTCAGTTCTGCACGTTATTTTTCTCATTGGAGCGCAATATCAACATAATCCTAGGAAGGAACTCGGAAAAATTTGGATTTTTAAATGTCAGCGAGCTTTTCGAATAGTAGCTGGAAACAAACGTGGATTGAAAAATAGATTTTTTTCGTATTCTTGTCGACCTGTTAGGGACTTTACTCGTTGGGAACGTGGTTCTTGATTTTGAAAAAAGAGGAGATTACGAGATTTTTAAGCTTGAGGGTAATAGAAGTTAGGAAAACTCGCTGAAAATCAATTTTCGGAATGAAAAAAGGAAAAGTTAATTCTTATAATGGCAGTACTTTATTAAGGGATGGTTACTTTTTGCCTTTTTTTTCAAAAAGTTTTGCTCTATTTCTCCGAAAAATTCTGGAGAAGCGAGTAGAAGTATACAAAAAGCAGAACAAAGAAGAGCATAAGAAAAATAGTTTTTTTCAAAAAGAAAAGAAAGGAGAAAAAAATAGATTTTTTTGGAAATGACTGATTATTTACCTGCTTTGAGCCTTTTTTTCGTGAAGTTTTTTTCAATAATTTATCACAAAAACAATAAGCAGAACTGAATTTTCCTCTTTTTCCACTTTTGAGCCCCATTTTTTGTCGCTAGAAGGCTTTTCTTTTCTGATTTTTGCTCCTTTTTCCTTTTTTTATCTCGGAATATGTTTCTCAAAGCAAAAAAAGTTGTGAGTGAATTTCGATTGAAGTAAAAAGAGCATTTAGAAAGAAAAATTTCCAAATTTGAATCGAGAAAAATTACATTTTTAGCGGAAAGGGAATAAAAAAATCCATTGAAAGATGAGTTTTAAATTGATTTTTTTCGGATTTTTTTGCGTAAAAAAATAGGTTTTTTTCGAAAGAATATTAATGGAAAGTTTATTTTTTTTCAGTCATGGATTGATTTTTGGTTGAAATGTACTTCCTTTTTTTCTGTTCTTTCCAGGATTAGAAAAAAATTATAAACAGAAACGAGGAACTTTTTTTCTGAGGTCAAAGATTGATTCTTTTTTGGGCCTTCTTGTTTATAATTTGAGTGGAGAGAGGGGGACTTTGGATCAAGTTTCATTTTTTTCTGACAGTTTTTCTTTTTCATCATCACAATGAGTTTTTTTCACACCATCTAGTGAATTTTTTTAAAAGCCTTTTTTTCTTTTTTTAGGCTTTTTTTCTTAAATTTCAACACGGAGATTTCAAAAATAAAGCTATTTCGCTCATAATTATGGTTTTAATGTTTCAAGGTTGATTCAAATCTCTGAAAAACCTTTTTCAAGGTTTCGTAATAATTTTCGGATTGGGAAGTTAGGCCGTGACTTTTTGGAAATTTAGACCATGTATTTGTGAAATACGACCTTGATGATAATTAAGGCGTTAATTTGTTTGATAATATCAGTTTTCTTTCATTTTTCTTCCATTCCTATTAGTTTCGAGTGCTTATCCGCCAATGAGCAATCTGCACGACAAATACAAAAAAAAATCAAAAAAAACTAAAATAATTTTGAGACGAAAAAAGCCTCGATCCCTATTTTCAACTCCTATTTTCAGTTGTTCATTCAAAAAATGACTATCTTTCAACTTTTCAACGATTTTTCGGAACTTTCTCCCATTTTTATTATCTATCCGTACACTAAGAATAACTGACGAGATAAACGCGAGCTCGGTGGCGGTACATTGACTAACTCGCAAAAATGTCGCTTTTTTCTAGGCGCGATCCAGCATTTCTCTCGGCGCGACCTCGCATTTTTCTCGGCGCCATCTCGCATTTATCTTGCATTTCGGAAATTTTCAAATTGCGAGAGAAATGCGAGCTCGCGCCTAGAAAAGTGCGAGCTGGCGCCCAGAAAAATGCGAGACCGGCGCGAGAAAAAAAGCGAGATGTTTGCGAGCTCGTCAATGTACCGCCAGTGTCTCGCGTTTATCTCGGCAGTTATTCTTAGTGTAGTCTCAAATTGTCTCTATAACTTTACCGTTCCAATCGAAAATCAATATGTAATTTTTGCATTGCTTTTTGTTACGAGTGCCTCAATGGATTTGCACGGTTTATACGGTAGTTATTTGGAAAGTTAGGCCGTCATTCTTATTTGTGAAATACGACCTTCATGATTATTAGAACGGTAATTGTTTCGTTTTTCTTTCTTTCTTATAGTTAATTCTATTTATAATTTTTCTTGTTTCTGTTTTTTTATGGGTTTTTAATTTCCTTCACTTTGTGTCAAAAAAATCGAATTCCAAATAGAGAATTGAAGAAAAATAAAAAAATCAATAAATAGGAAAAAAACGGAGAATTTTTTAACTGTAAGAATGGAAGAATAATCAACGTATTAATCGAAGGTCGTATTTCACAAATGGAAATGATGGCCTAACTTTCCAAATAATTACCGTATGCACCATCCAAACTCTTATATGACACGACGTAACAAAAAGCTATGTGAAAAATATATTATTACTTTTCGATTGAAACGGAAAAGTTATGGAGACGATTTGAGACTACGAATTGCTAATAAAAAAATAAAAGAGTTCTCAAAAAAATCGTTGAAAAAAATGGAAAAAAATACTCATTTTTTTGAATCAAAAACTGAAAAATAGGAGTTAAAAAAATATGAACCGAGAATTACACAAAAAGGTTATTTTGAAATAAAAAAAGGCGCACTTAAATCGAAAAATATCCCTTTTTTTGTTTTATAGAACAAATTTTTTTAATTATTCAGAAGCCTAACTTCCAAGCTTCAATGAAACTTCTGCTGGGAATTTTTTTCAATCGCTTCAGTTTTGTCCAAATGATAAAAAAATATACAGACTTTTTCCAATCAAAATTGATCTTCAAAATGTTTTTCAATTCTTTACTGTTTCAAAATTGCTCAAAAATTAAAAAAATGCTTTTTTTCAGGGGAGTTTATTTTTTTTCCGTAGAAGGCAACTGTATTAATATGAATCAACTGAAAATCAGTTTTACCAGCTTTTTCAAACCGAAAAATGGTTTTAAAAAGTTTAAAATTTAAGATTTGAAAAATTTTTTTGGCTTTGAAGACGTTTTTATGCTGAATTTCAACCGTAAACTTTGAAAAACAACGACGAATATTATTTCAAAGGGCTTTTTTTCACCTTTTTTTAAAAAAAGGATGTAAATTTTTTTGTTTTGAAATCAGTTCAAAATCATAAATTTCTCTTCTTATCACGGTTTGCTAGATATTTTTTTACATAAATTTAACCAAGAACAGTTTGAAATAACCCACTTTTTTTTTTGAAAATGAAGTTTTCACTTCACGTCAATTTTTTTTTCATTGACCTTTATCTTCTCTATTTTGGTCATGGAAGTTGGTTTCCATACGTTTCGAAATGAATCTAAATAAGCAAATTATTTTATTCAAGTGTTGTGAAAGCGCAATATTTCCTTGATATATTTATATAATTTTCGTTGATTTATCCATCATTTTGAAGTGTGAAAGACTTTCTTTTTCAGGACTTTATCTTTCAATTGTTAGGATTTATTTTTTAATGGGAATTTTCTGTAGGACACTTTCCTTTTTGGGGAGGATTATACCTTTTTTTCAGACCTTTTTTGTTGAGAATTTTTTCAGGTCTTTACTTAGGACCTCTTCAAAATGATTACCGAAAAAAGTGTCCCACAAACAATCTCATCAAAAAAATATTAACAGTTGAAAGATAAAAAGGTCCTGAAAAAAAAAGTCTTCACACTTCAAAATGATCGAAAAACCAACGAAAATCATATTATTGCAGCGAGAAATTGCCTGTTAAAAACTTTCGAATGAAGTTCTTTGCTTATTTCGATTCGTTTCGAAACGTAGGGAAACCAACTTCCATGACCAAAATAGAGAAGATAAAGGTCAATAAAAAAAATTGACGTGAACTGAAAACTTCATTTTCAAAAAAAAAGTTGGTTATTTCAAACTGTTCTTAGTTGAATTTAGGCAAAAAAATATCAGATTTCGAAAAAAACATCCTTGTTTAAAAAAAGGTCAAAAAAGCCCTTTATAAAAAAATTCGTCGTTTTATTGAAAGGTTCCGGTTGAAGTTCAGCATAAAACGTCTTCAAAGCCATAAATTTTCAAATCTTAAATTTTAGACTTTTGAAAGCATTTTCGGTTTAAAAAAGCTGATAAAACTGATTTTCATTTGATTCAATTTATTTTTCCAGAAAAAAAGTTTTTTTGTTTCTAATTTTTTTGGGGTTGAATTCATGAATTTCTTGTTGGGAATATTTTTTTGAACCTTTCATCATTTTTACTGTTAGAAATCTCTTTTTTCAGACTTTTTTTAAGACCTTTTTTCGGTCTTTGAGACTTCTTCAGTATAACAGTTGTTAGTATTTTTCTCCAGTACTTTTTTTATCTTTTCTCAAAAAAGTTTCTTTTTCGGCTAAGGAGAACCTTTTTTCATCTTTCTAACTGTTAATCCTCTGCAGGAAGAAGTGGCGACGATCGGAAAATCCAAATTCTCGACACTACGCTCGGCGAAACTGATCAACCGCGAACAAGAGGAATACAACAAGGAGAACAACATGCACGAGCAGATGAGCGGATACAAACGTCTCAGACAGCAGCACGTCAAGGAGATCAAGCAGGTCAGAGGGGAGAAAATTGAACAAAAAAAAATGAGAAAATGTCGTTTTTCGACAACTTTGGGATGAGCTCTAGGAAGTTATAACAGTTCGTAAAAAGTCATTTATTAACTTCGATTTTTTTAAATTTCTGTACTCACTACCCAAGAGACACCTACTTGAAAACATTTCCACCGCTACTTTTTTCTGCCCTTTTGAAAACTATCGAAAAAAATGTGGCTTACGTTTCAAATCCACAAGAATTGGCTACATTTGAAAATTGTGGGAAGGAAAGATTCAATTTTGCAGTGCGAAGAGCGGTGTACACAGGAGCGCGACGTCCTACGGGTGAAGTTGGACCGGGAGCTCGAGCAGCTCACCAATACCTACGGCAAAGTAATATGGACCATATAAGGAATAATGATACTTTTTTTTATTTTTCAACTTGTGGGAAAATTAACAGGGTTAGATAACAAAATTTAAGAACGACGGTGCGATTTTCAAAAAAAAAAGAAGACCATTCAACTTTTCGGTTGGGGATTCCCTGCAACTTGGCCAGAACATTCCTTGAAGTACCATAAGAATGCCCTAGAAGTCCCAATCTGTGCAAGTTCCCAGTTTTCGAGAATTAAGGGTTCAAAGTCCCTAAATGGCCTACTTTAACGGGTTCTGAGGGTTTTCGTTGATTTGGTTCATCAAGGGGTGTGCTCGCCGTTTTTTAAGGAACTCCCAACCACATAGTGAAATCAATTTTGTTGTTAGATCAGTGAAATATTACGTTATGGATGTAATAAGTTTGAAAAAAAACCTTGAAAAGCTTTTTTTTTTAAACTCTTCTTTGAAGGAAAAACAACGGGTCAAAGTGGCGCACCAGAACGAGTTGGACAAGAAAAAGCGGGAGATCGAGGAAGGCGAGAGGAAGCTCCGGAAACAGACGGCGGTGATTGGATAGAAATGATTGGTCAATAAATCGATTTTCAGTCCAAAAATCAACAAATGATGCGGGTTTTCGCGACGGCGCAACTCAAGGAGTACAAACACAACAAGGAGATTCAGAAGGATGTTGGTGGTTCTTTCAGAAAATAATCAAAAAAGCTTCCAAAACATTTTTTATCCCATTTTTCAGCGCTTCCGAACGATGAGCATGTCGAGAAGTTCCATGGAAACGGCCATGAAGGAGGTGAAGGCGCAGCTGAACCGACAGAGGGAGCAGCTCGAGGCGGAGTTCGAGACGAAGCAGCGGGCCGAGGCCGACGACGAGCTCGTCCGATACCGCCGATCCCAGCTCAGTCGACTCCACAGCCTCGAGGAGAAGCTCGAGGAAGATGTTCGTCGGATTTTCCTTAGAAAGGATAAAATGCCTCTACAGTCTGTTCAGATTTTGAATGTCAAGTGCAATGACGTCATTCAAAAACACTCTCTGATTGGTTTATCGCGCCATTAGGGGCGGAGCTTGAGCGACGGCTTGACATTCAAAACCTGAACACACTATAGGCTCAATATGAAACCAAACTGTTTTTCAAGCCAAAGTTGGAAGTTTTTGTGAAAAGGCCTGACGGAGAAGAAATTAACTTTAGATAAGCCAAAGCTTTAAGAATTTTTTTGCCGGTCTTTCGAGAGAAAAAAAAATTTGTAGAGTAAATTGAAAAAATTATGATATAGCTGATTCACGGCCAGCTTGGGACGCTAAGGGGCGTGGTCTCTCTGCGCTCTCCACGAGCCAGGCACTATCTCCTTTCTTATCGTGTCAGGACCCTTTTTTCGATGGCTCAAGCCAGCCGTGAATCAGCTATATACAGGATAATATAGGCGTCAGAAAAGCAGAAAATAACAAAACTGAAAAAAAGCTAAATTATCTAAAAAAGCTTGATCCTTAAAGTTGGCTTTTTTTCGGAAAAATCGAAGCAAATAAATGGATCTTTCAAGCTTCTCACGAAATTCTGCCTTTTTCAAACTTTTTATAGCCTTCGAAGACCTAATTTTTCATTAATATAAAATGTAGAGAGATTTTTAGCTCGGCCTCCTTGAAATCCTTAAGAAAGATTTGGGCCAGATCTTTCGGAAAAAGAAGGAAAAGAAGATGTAAAAATAATGAAAAGCCTCAAGAAAAGTTGAAAAATAGGAAGTCAGACGTTTTGAGCTCGAAAGTTGGTAACCTTTCTCTTAGAACAAAATTCAAAAAAGTCATTTTATCTGAAGATATCCTTGCAGGACATGAACATCCAAGAACGACAGATGGAAACGCGACAGGCCTTGCTGATGAAACAGCACGAAATGACCCGAAATCTCGAAATCGAACACCTCACCGAGCTTCACGTCCTCAAGAAGAAACATCAAGTTTATATTGATTTTTAGAATTAATGAAAAGAAGCTTGAAATACCTTAGAAGTCAAAGAGAATTATGTTTTTTGCAGTATTTTAACTAGAAAACGTTCTTTTTCTCACTTTTTGAAATTTTTTAGATTTTTCCAAAGCTACTTTTCTTTCAGGACGCCCAGTACGAATCCGAAACGGCCAACCAGAACGAGTACACCCGAAGGTTGACCGAAGAGTTGCGGAAAAAACACGCGCTCCAAAGTCGACAGCAGCCCAGAGATCTCAAGGTTTGAAGAAATTAGCCGTGGAGCGCGAAAGCTTGACGCGAAAAAATAGCCTTTTACTGAAAGCAATAAAAACAGTCCACTGGGAAAAGTTTTGAAAATCTCTCAAATTTCCTCCGAGAACAGTTCTTAGATATTTGTGGCCTGAAAAAGTACACAGGTTAACCTTGCCAGAAATCCTCAACTTCTTGTATATTTTTGAGGTTTTCCACTTACCTGATAATTGCTAGATAATTTCAACTCGGTCAAAGAGAATTTTCAGCTGAAAGAGCAACAAATCCGGAAACAGTACCGACAGGCCGTCAAAACCCAAACCCGACAGTTCAAACTGTGGCAGACTCAGCTGCTGCAGTCGGTCGCCAGAGAGGAGCAGAAGGAGGTCTCCGCCAGGCTCAAGGAAGTGAGCGCGATTTTTGGGAGATTGACCTCGTTAATAATGAGTAAGAAGCAATAGGAAGAGTATGTAAGGATCCGAGTTGAAAAAATAATGGTGCGCGATTTTAGAGGGAAGGTGCACGATGTCAGGGAAAGGGGCTTTAAGGGAAGAAATCGAACGTATGGAGGCAATTATAAAAGCAATAAAAAGAGTTCCTAGAAATCTGATTACAAAAAAAAGAGGGAGGGTGCGCGATTTTTGAGGGGTGGTGCGCCATTTCTAGTGGATTGATACCAGGGGAACGGAGGGTGGCACGATTTTGGAGAGGACCAGTTCTTGATAAGGAGATGAAGCCTTTAAAAGTTTCCTTTAGGCTCTAAAAACGAGTTTTAAAAAATCTGCGGGTTTCGCGCGATTTAAACGAATCGTGTAAGGAAAAAATTTTAAAAAAAACTGAGTTATGAAATTTCTCGAAAAATTTCCTGGCTTCAAACAAGGATAAAAAAATTTGAAATAAAACAATTCTTGTCAAGCTTGTCACGATTAGCTTAATTTTTTTCAAAATTACAGGAACAAACCCGCAAATTGGCGCTCCTCGGCTCCCAATACGAAAGTCAGATCAAGAACATGGTCAAGGAAACGACGGTTTGTTTGGGAAATTTCTAAAAATAAGACATATTTTCACTCAGGAAACAACTCAATTCTTGTATGTTAATGGAAATTTTACCTGCAATTTTTGATCTATGGGATTACAGGTGAAGCTGGAGTCGTGGCAAGAAGACGAAGCCCGAACTCTGAGAGAGAAACTCGCCATGGAAAACGATCATTTGATCGAGTGCCAACAGAAGCAGCTCGTCACCCTCAACGATCAGATCGCCAAGGTTTGAAAGAGGGTAAAGAGATTAAAAAAATGAAAAAAGGTAGGATAGAAGGTTTTTGGAGCAGTTTTTGAGTTTTTTAGTGGTTTGAAAGGCTCTGACTTCCCTCGGGGGATCACTTAGCTTTCTAAACTCTCATAGCTTGAGTTAGAAAATTTTTCATGTTTCACTGATTTTTTATTTCAATCAATGAGTGTTTTGAGTGATTAGATGAATGCAAAAGGTGATTTTAAACTCAATAGACTTGTTGAAAAAGAAACGATTCGTTGGATTCCAGGAGCGGGTGCACCTGGAGCAGCGGATCAGCACCCGGCGAGCCCTTCTCGAGCAGCAGATTAAGCGCGAACGGGAGGAACTCTCGAAAGTGCGGCGGATTCGGCTCGAAGCCCTCCACGAACGGCACGCCGATGAGCGGCAGAGACTCGAGAACAGCTTCCTTCGGCTACATCAGCAGCAACGGCTTTGAATCCCTTGTCGGTTTTCATCAGTGGGATCTTGAGTAGTCGCTTGAGAGATGAGGAGCTTGAAAGTTCTTTTTTTAGACTCTTAAGGGACCCCTTGAAAGTTGAGGAACCTCAGAGCTGAGCGGCTGAGCTTGTGGTCACCTAGGTGGTCAGAAGCTTGAAAATCCTTTTTTAAAGCTCTTAAGGGACCCCTTGAAAATTCAGAAGTGTAATGGCTACTATAGCGACTGAGCTAGTGGTCGCTGAGGTGGTCAGGAGCTTGAAAATTGATCTTTATCAGTTTTTAAACCACTTGGAGCTTCTAATAGACCCCTTAAGGGCTTAGAAGCTTTCAGACTCCTTCTAGTGGCTCCTTGAGTTCATAGAAGAGTTGCAAATGTTAGTAAGTGGTCACTTAAGAGACCAGCAACCCAAAAAATATTCGAAAACCCTCAAGTGGTGACTTGGCAACCTTTAAGAGTCCTCTCAACCTTCCCCTCATGCGAAAACCGACAGAAAACCCTCCATTTTCAGCTTTTTCTTGTCATTTTCATGTGCCTTCTCGAAATTATCCATTTCTCTGACTATTTTTCTCGACTAGCTTTTTATTTAATAACTATTATTTCCTATATTATTTATTTTATTTTTGTTTTAATAAGAAAAAAGAATATGTTTTGATTTTAAATCGAAAGAAACGAGCTTGATTCTTGTCGGTGATGAAACGCAGTTATACCTTCTTCTTCTTTTTTTGCTTCCTTCTTTATTTTTAATATCATTAGTTTTAACGTGTTTCGTGTGTTATCTTTTTTTTATTTTTCGTCTTTTTTTCCGTCTTTTTTGCCCCTTCAAGAGCTGTGATATTCTCTCGTATCCGTAACATGAGCAAGCCACGCCCAAAATACAAAACAGTGCAATGACGTCACTACACAATCTTTTTATTCTACTTTGCTCGGTGCTCTTTTTCTCCATGATTCGCCTTCTTTTCCTATTATTTTCTTGCGGGATCGCGAGAGAGTGTGGTGGCTTGAGAGGGTGACAGACGTGCAGAGTGTCTGCGCCTCTCCACTCCACACACACTCTCTCTTTCTTAGGGCCTTTTCCTCCTTTTAGCGTGCTTTATGATTGTTCTTGTGTGTTCTTTTAGTGTCTTTTTTCTACAAGATATATCTTTCGTTTCTTTTTCATCTGATACCTCGTTTTAATAACCTGATTTTTACCTGAAAGTTCCTTTTTTATTCACTCGCAGTACAATACTCGATCGTGTCCGATTTCCGTTTCTTCCTTTCTTTTTTACTCGAATAAAAACGCTTCAAAAGTGATATTTTGAGTTTTTTGTGTGTGTGTTTTGTAGAAGAACTGATCTTGAATACTTTTATACACAAAAAAGGATCATTTTCATCCCGATTTTTACATTTATTCAGTTGAAACTTGTAGTTTAGAGGTTGCAGGTTCGACTCTTGTCCCCGTTTTTGCCATTTTTGAAGTGGATTTTTGAATAGAATCTTTTGACAATTTTTTATTCAAACAAGTCGTTTAGAAGTCTTTTGGATTGATAAATTTATGGAGCAACTGGAAGATAACTCGTTTTTGGATCTGAAGGTCGCAGGTTCGACTCCTCTCCACGTTTTTGCCATTTTTAAACAACTTTTTACTAGTCTTGTTGATTATAGATATTGAACAGAAAGTTTTAATAAGAAAGGCAACCAAAAATCAGGAAAAACAGAAGAATTTGAGGGGAGTCGGCGTAAACCGTCCCAAGTCGGGCGCAGCAACCTCGAGGCTTATATAAGTCGAAGCGAAATTATCGGACTTTGGGCCTAGGCCCCATTAGGAAAAGGAGTCTCGGAAACGAGGAAATATAAAAAATTGTTGAGGAGTTCCATGGTCCGAAAAGAACTTGACCATTTTTTGCGGATTTCTGTAAAATGCGGTCACTTTTTTTTCTATTGGATTATGACCCTTTTTAGCCCGAAAATCCCAGTGAGAAGATCCATTTTCTGGTTGAGAAGTTGGAAGATTGGATGCATTTTCCCGTTGGGAATTCCCCCAGCTCCAATCGAACCGAGTAAGTGACTTCCATTGAAATTTCCGGCTCCTTTGAGTTTTTTGAACTTTCCCTAGGATATTATAAATGGCAAAAATGAGTAGAGGACTCGAACCTGAAACCTCCAGATTTAGAGACTTTAGCTCTACTCGTTGCTATTTGAATTTTGTGGTCTAAAGAAAAAAAAATTTGAGTCGAAGAAATGGCAAAAACGGGGATTGGACTCGAACCTGTGACCTATTTCATGATAATCAAGGGCTCTACCTGCTGCTCTATGTACTACTTTCTTTCCCTTTTCAGTACTCTATGAAGAATAGGAAGCTTCTAAAGTTTTTTTGAAAATGGCAAAAACGTGGAGAGGACTCGAACCTGTGACCTCTGGATTGACGAACCTTTCAAATATAAAAAAATTTTTGAAAAAAACAGAAACTTTGAGCTTTTTTTATGTACATAATGATGCTTCGAATTCATATGGAAAAAAATGACGAAAAAAATATGAAAAAAATGGCAAAAAAACGGTGAGAGGATTCGAACCCGTGACCTCTAGATTCATGAATTGAAGCTTTATCTAACACTAAATTGGGATTAGAATTTTAAAAAAAGCTTGGAAAAGTGTAATTTGTAGATTATTTTTGAAAAAATGCTTTTTTTTTTTTACTTACCTTCTTTTTTGACCACCATTTGACCCCCATTTTTGCCTCCAAATGAATTTTTTTGCCGTTTTTTTTTCTTCTATATTTCAACTCTCTCTCCTTGTTTTTTTCATTTTTCTTGTAGGAAAATTTTAAAAATTGTGGATTTTTCATGCTAAAATGTAGTATAGTTGACAATTTCACCACAAAAAAAGAGACAAGAAATCGATTTTTTTCTGTATTTGACAAGCAAAAAAACTTCAAAGGAAAGATGGAAAATGGCAAAAAAACGGGGAGGGGATCCGAACCTGTGACCTGTATTATCATAGCCAAGATCTCTACCTGTTGCTCTATGTATTTATTCAAAAAAACACAGTTTTTTTATTAATAATCCAAGGAAAAATTTTCTCGACAACTTCTCTGTTTCATTGGAAAAAAATATGATTTTCGTCACTGAAAAAAATTATCTAATCTTTTTTTCAAAGGTTTCCTGTTTCAAAAAAAGAATAAATATATACTCTTTAATGTTTATAGTTGCTGTTGTATCATGGGTATCATCCAAAATTTAAAAAAAGGAATTTTTTCGAAATTTTAATAATACTCCATTTCGAAATTATCAATATTCCGATTTTTTTCTCAAGAAAAATCCCCTTTTTTTGCGATTTTTTTGTGAATTTAGAAAAGTTCAGACAGTTCAGGCATCCCTTCTTCAAAAAAATAAAGGAGCAATTTTAAGTGGATCCGTGGAACCTTCACTTAAAAATTCTTTTTTTTAAAATCGTTTTTGATAATTTTTCGATCGGTTTTGAAGAAGGAGTTTTTTCAATTTTTCAATTTTCAATAGCCGCACCGAACTTAAGTTGGAAATAGTATATTTATTTAAACGCTCTTTGAAACAGGAAAATACGGAAAAAAAAAGTTCGAAAATAGGTTAGGTAAATTTTCAACTCACCCACGGGACCACATTATTCGAAATAAATTGAATTGAATTATTGGGAAAAACGAGATAAAATAGTGGGAGAGCAAGAGATCAACGGCTTTCTGAAGAGACTACAGAGAAAAAAAGAAATTCTCTTTCTCTAAACTCTCTTCAGACGACCGTGATCACCTTCATCTTACTCTGAAAGCTGAATAAATTAAACAAATAAAAAGGAAATTTAATCCGAAACTAAGCGAGATACAACAACCATATTAAAATTATGGAATTCATATTTGTCCAGTGAAACAGAGAAGTCGTCCAATTTCATTTTTATTGAATTTTTTTTCATTTTTTTCCCGTTTCAAAAAAATTTTTCATATTTTCTGTTTTATCTAGCCGTCCTCTAAGCTAATGAAAAAAAATTGTTTTTTATTTTTTTAAATAATTGAGATTTCGATTTTTCAATTAACAGTATTTTCCCTAGAGTTTACTGTATTTTTCGATTTATCATTTTTTTTTTTTCTTCTTTTCCCATTTTTTATCAGAAATTCATCGAAATTGAGAGTTTTCCACGTGAGTTGAGAAAATGGTGGATTTTAGAAAACCGCAAAAACATTTTCACAACGGAATTTCAGGATTTCAATCGTCAAAACCTACTGAAACCGGATCTTACTGTATTTATCATTGGAGCGCACAAGCTCTTTTTCCCCGAAATAAATTCTCTTTCTGATTTTTGTTTTTTTTTTACAATTGCCCAGTCTTATTTTTTTGTCGGTAGAGCGAAAAAAACTCGGTTTTTGCGGCTATTTAAGAAAAAAATTAACTCTTTGGAGCCAGTAATTTGGAAAATGTCGAAAAATCTAGAGAAACTAATTTAGAAAAAAAAAAGCGATTTCTAATAAATTTTTTCACTTCTATATTTTTTTTTGGCTTTTTTTTGGGTTTAACTGACTTTCAAGGTCCCAAATAGACTGTCAAATACAGAAAAAAAAACATTCATCCTAGATCAATTTGATATTGTCAATAGAGCGCACAAGCTTGCGGCTCTTTTTTCCCATTTTACCTTTTTTTTCTAAAAAAAATCTTTCAAAATTAATTCACCCGACACACTTGCATATTTATATATAGCCCATCCAACAAAAAAATGAAGAAAGAAAGAAAAAAAAGGAAATGGAGCCACTGGATGGCCGAAATCCGTCCCCAGGGAGGCCCGCACACACACTTTCTTCTTTCCTTTTTCTATTTTTTCCTTCTCCCAAGTCTTCCTCCTCGTTTTTCTCTTCTTAAATAATGCAGACCTCGATTTTCTTTTCCGGGAAAAATTAAGATTTTTAGGGCCTTAGAAGTTTAGGAACTTTTGAAGCTTTCAAGTCGCTACTTTACGCTCTGACTACATATATACTATACTATACAAAAACATAGTGAAGCTCTTAAGAGGTCACTATATCTACTGAATCCGCCTACAAGTGGTCATTTGAGAAGTCAATTTATTCTTACAGGCAACCACTTCAAGAGCTGAAATATGATTCGATCCCTTAAGGTGCCACTTCATTCTTTATGACGAGAACTTCTTCAAAATGAAACGGGGCTCTGAAAAATTGGTGAAAATCCTCTTAAGAGATCACTTTATCTAACTAATCCGACCTCACACCTTAAGGCGCCACTTCGTTATATCTGTGAAGTCATCAAGGTCTTCAAAGCTTCTCAGTTGGGCTTTGAAGAGACTTCAAAAGTTAAACGGGATGATGAAAAACGGAAAAATTCACTTAAAGGACCACTTAACCCACCAAAACCGGCCTCACCCCTTACGGTACCACTTTCTTTTTTTTGTAACGTCACAAATGCCTCCAAGGTTTCTCAGTTGGCCTTTGAAGAGACTCCAAAAGTTGAACGGAATCATGAAAGTCCAGAAAAAATCCACTCAAGCGACCACTTTATCCTCCAAAGCCAACCCCATCCCTTAAGGTACTACTTAATTGTCTCCTGTGGCGTCACCAAGATCTTTAAAGCTTTTCAGTCGGCCTTTAGAGACCCTTCAAAAGTTGAACATATTCATGAAAAGCCAGAATAAATCCCCTTAAGATCACTTTATCTTCTCAAACCGACCTCAACCCTTAAGGTACCACTTGATTATCTTTGTGACGTCATCAAGGTTCTAAAAGCTTCTCAGTCGGTCTTTGAAGAGACTTGAATAGTTTACGGATCTATCAAAAATGTAATAAAATCTCTTAAGCGACCACTTTATCCACCAAAGCCGCCAACAAGTGGTCCCTTAAGGCGCGACGGCGTAAATCCCCTTCAAGGCGCGTTTTTTTAAGAAAAAAAATCGCTACGCTTGATACTGGACATCTTCCGAGATCATTGAACTACCTTTTAGGATGTCACGAAAATCTTGAAAAAGTGGTCACTTAAGAGGTTAGTATTTCCTTACAGACCGATAACTTCAGTAGCTGAAGTGAGACTTGATCTCTTAAGTTACCACTTTATTCTTCCTTGTGACGTCACCAAGGTTCTAAGAGCTTCTCAGTCAGCATTTGAAGAGTATTGGAAAAGTTAAAAGGCGTTATGAAAAACGGCAAAAATTCACTTAAGTGACCCCTTCACCTTCTAAAACCGACCCCACTCCTTAAGGGACCACTTCGACCTTTTGTGACGTCACCAAGGACTTCAAAGCTTTTCAGTTGGTCTTTGAAAGCTCTCAAACGTTTAACCGAACTATGAGAAAGCGAAGAAATCCACTTAAGTGACCACTTCACCCTCCAAACCGACCTCACCCCTTAAGGTACCACTTTGATCTATTGTGACGTCATCAAAATCTTTAAAGCTTCTCAGTCGGTCTTTGAAGAGACTTTAAGTTGAACATATTCATGAAAAACGGAAAAATCCACTTAAGGGACCACTTTACCCACCAAAACCGACCTCACCCCTTAAGGGACCACTTTGATCTTTTGTGACGTCACCAAGGTCTCCAAGACATCTTAGTTAGCATCTGAAGAGACTTCAAGTTGAAAATATTCATGAAAAACCGGAATGAATTCACTTAAGGGACCACATTACCCACCAAAACCGACCTCACCCATTAAGGTGCTGCTTTCTCTTTTTGTGACGTCACAAAGGCATTAGAAGCTTCTCAGTCGGCCCTTGGAGACCCTTCAAAAGTTAAACGGAATCAAGAAATCCACTTAAGGGACCACTCCACTCCCCGGAGCCGCCAACAAGTGGTCCCTTAAGGCGCGAGGGCGTAAATCCGCGGCATATTTTGCGAGAATCCCGGAAAAGCTCCCTCACACTCCAACGGGATGAGTGTCATCCGTGAGTTGAGCTCATGAGTTTTTCCACATCCTCTGCGCCCTCTCGTCTCCCCGTGCTCTCTCGCCGGTCCTCGGACTCCGCCGCCCATTCGATTTCGTCCTCCCCCGCCTCGAGCAGCTTTCTCCGGCTCTCTCGCATATTCCCCCCACATATGCACACTCTCCGGCTTCTTCTTCTTCTTTTTCAGCATTAATATTTTAATTTTTGAGAAAGTTTCATCCAAAAAAATGGCATTTTTTTGAGGATTTTTTTGGAAGTTTTGAGCAAGTTTCCAGTTGTAGTTTGGTCATTGCGTGTTCGTTCCACTTGAAATTAATCAAAATAATTTTTTGAAGCTCTTTTTTGCCGAAAATTGGTCATTTTTATGTCGTTCCAGGCCTAAAATTGACCTTTTTGGAGCAATTTTGATGAATTTTTTTTCGGACTTTTTGGAACTTTTGAGAAAGTTTTCTGTTGTAGTATGGTCATTGCGCGTTCGTTTCAATTGAAACTAGAAAAATGTTTCTTGAAGGAAGTTCCTAGTCCAAAATTGACTGTATTTGAAGTTTTATAGCGATTTTTTTCAGTTTATATAACTTTTTTTGAATTTTCGTCGTTTTTCCGGTTGTTAAATTATCATCACTGTTCCATTTGCATAAAAAAATATTTAAAAAAATTATTCAAAAAAAGTTTTTTTGAGCCGAAAGTCTGTTATTTCTGTCACAGAAATGTATAGTTTATCTCAAAATGTTCCAATTTTTTTCAAATTTTAATTTCTGGAATTTTTTTCTAAATTTAATTTAAAATGGATCCGGCACATATTTTTTTACAATTACTCCCACTTTTTTTCCTTTTTTTCTCTTTTTTTGGTATAATTTTTTTGAGAAAAATTTCATCCAAAAAAATACCTTTTTTTGATATTTTTTTCAAAGTTTTTTTCCTGTTGTAGTCTATTCATTGCGTTGCCGTACTGCTGATATTTGAAAAAAATGTTTGATTTTTTTGGAAGATACTGCTAGTCAAAAAAATTGAGTATTTTCTGGTCTTTTAAAGCTTTAAATATACTTTTTTTGGAATTTTGCCCCTACGCCTTCAAAAAAATAATCATTTGAAACTATCAACTTGGAATAAGATTGAAATATTGAGGAAAAAAATAGTTTTCTTTTCGGGATATAAAATCTGAATTTTTTTCGTGAAAAAAATGCATCTTTTTGTTCATTTTCTTCACACTTTTTTTGCGCTTTTCTATCAAAAAAATGCATTGGAAAGTTATTTTTTTCCGGGCTAAAAAAATGTAAAATTTTGAGCTTGATGCTGAAAAGTCGTGTTTCTGGGACAAAAAAAGGCGCCGGAAGGGCCTTTTTAATTCATTTTCTACACAATTTTTCTGTGTTCTATCAAAAAAATGCATTGGAAATTCATTTTTCCGGACTAAAAATCTTATTTTTCCATGCCTGGAGCTGAAAACTCGAGTTTTTGGGCCGAAAAAAGGCGCCGGAAGGAACTTTTTTTGTTCATTTCATGCCGTTTGGGTGCATCGGTGTTGCGTGTGTGTGTGCGTGGAAAATTGTTTCGCGGCCTTCCTGGCCAAAATTGCGTTATTTCGCAGGGGCTCATCAACTTTTTCCCCCCTTCCTTTTTTTGTAGCAGGAAATGGGTTTGTTTGAGTAGATTTTTCAAAAAAATGAGTATTTCTGACCTGCTTTTCATGCTTAGAATCAAATTTATCGGATTTTTTCCTTCAAAATGGTCATTTTCATCAAAATAGTGTTTTTTCGAAGAATTAGCCATGGAGCGCATAAACCATGATTTAAAAGGCTATTTTTTCTCACCCCTTTTTTCACTTTTTTTTTGGTTTTCTGAATCCAATAATATATTTTTCATTTCAAAAAAATAGCCCTGGAGCGTTTTTTTAAATATTCAAAGCTGATTTTTTTCGATAATTCTTGCTCTACTGTACGATACTTTCATTAGAAAAAAATCAGTGAAGTTAAATTTTTTTCCAATTTTTCTTTTGAAAGTTAGCCTCGGAGCGTGAAAATTGTACATATTTGGGCTATTTTTTTTCTCATTTCTCGCTGAATTTTCGTTCATAGCCGTCGAGTTTTAGTGAAAAAAACTTTTAAAAAAACGACTAAAAAAAGGTTTTTTTCGTTTTTGGTAGTTAGGACGAAAAAAACTCTGAAAACAGAAGCTTCAAGGCTGAATTTCGCGTCTAAAAATACAAAATTCATTTTTCCCGGGTTTTTTCGATTTTTAGCGACGGAGCGCACAAACCCCAACTTGTAGCGCTTTTGCGAAAAAGGAGCTTTTCCCTCAATTTCCCATTTTCTCGCCAATAAGTGTCCTTCAAGGAACACCTCCATCCACTGGCAAAGGAGCAGAAAAAAATATATCCGGGGGAAAAAAAAGACGTTGCCCAAAAAAGGAGTGCGCAGAAAAAGGGACATCAATCAATCAAAAGGCCGCCTCCGGGCACGCTTTTCTTGCATTTTGCCTTGCCGAACATTAGAAAATATAGAGTCGAGAGCCGTTCTCTGAGTGTTTAGGGACCACTTGAGGGATCAAAATGAGAAAATTTCTGAAATTTTTTAAAATGATTCCAGTTTTTCAATGGACTTTTACTACTTGGAGGATGATAAATAATTATTTTCCGCCTTAAATGAACCCTTTAGGGACCACTTGAGGGATGAATTTAAAAAAAAGAGTCGAGAGCCGTTCTCTGAGCGTTTAGGGACCACTTGAGGGATAAAAATGAGAAATCTTTTTATTTTTTTCAAAAATGTAGTTTTCAATGGGCTTTTACTACTTGGAGGATGATAAATTTATTTTCCGCCTTAAATGAACCCTTTAGGGACCACTTGAGGGATCAAAATGAGAAAAATTTTCTGAAATTTTTTAAAATGATTCCAGTTTTTCAATGGACTTTTACTACTTGGAGGATGATAAATAATTATTTTCCGCCTTAAATGAACCCTTTAGGGACCACTTGAGGGATGAATTTAAAAAAGAGTCGAGAGCCGTTCTCTGAGCGTTTAGGGACCACTTGAGGGATAAAAAGGAGAAATCTTTTTTTTTATTTTTCAAAAAATGTAGTTTTCAATGGGCTTCTACTACTTGGAGGATGTTGAAAAATTATTTTTCGTCTTAAATGAACACTTTAGGGACCACTTGAGGGATCAAAATGAGAAAAATTTTCGAAAAATTTTTTTGAAAATAGTTCCAGTTTTTTTCAACTTTTTACTGCTTGGAAGAACATCAAAAAAATAATGTTTCCGAAAAAAATGGCATAAGTGAACAGTTTAGTGATCAATTGAGTGTTCAAAACAGAAAAAATATTCATAATTTCCAGAAAAAAATTCAAGTGATCACTTGAGGACTATGAGCAACTTGAAGGAAGCGCTAAGGAAAATAATGAAACGGCTTTCGATTTTTCCAAGTGACTCCTTAAGTGGTCGCTGATTTTTTGATTTTTCTTTCTAATCGGTCATTTTAAGTGAAAATTTTCATTATGACGTCACTGCTACTTATTGAACCCTTGAGTGGTCCCTCCATCAGAATGTTTGAAACAGGAAAGTCATCGAAATTTAAAAATTTTGTCCGAAATTTTTTTCGAGGCCTTTTATTTATTGATTTTCTATATAATTTCTTGATTTTTTTCTAAAGATGACGTCACTTTTATTTGTTGATCACTAAAAGAACCACTCAGGGAATAGGATTGAAACAGGAAATTGATGGAAATTTCTATTTTTTTCAACTAAAAATTTTTTTGAGATGTAATTTTTTTGACTTTTGTGGATTTTTCTCAACTTTTTGAAATGACGTCATTGCTTTCTGTTCATCACTTAAGTGGTCTCTGAGAGAGTACATATTTTTACGATTGAAACAGGAAGCTGATGGGAAGTTTCATTTTTCAACAAATTTTGGAGAAATTTTTTTCAATTTCTCTGGATTTTCTCGGCTTTTTTCTTGGAATGACGTCACTTTTACCTATTGATCACTAGAATGATCCCTTCCCTGAGTAAGATGATAAGGTTGGAATGGCTATAAGCAACCTGGAGCGGAGGTGCCGGGGACAATTAGAGAGCAACAGGCGCGATGTTTGGGCTCAGTGGCCGTCGAGTTCTTACAACGCAGCCAAAGCCGTCGAGCCACACACACACTCCGACCCACGGCCCCCACAACAAATCTTGAATCTCAAATCTTTTTCCAAGTCCCTAGGAAAATATTAAAACTCAATCAGACGGAAATTTTTCATGAATTTTTGATTCTTCGATTTAGAGGACTTTACTGTTTCATTCACACTTTTCAACCAAAACTCAAAATTTTTCCGCGTTTCCAGAAATGTTTATATGAATCAGAAAAATGAATTGGTCCAATAAGTTTTTGCAGTTTTTCAATATAAAGCACTTTACTGTTCCATTCAGAAGTTCAATTGAAATGAAGAATTATCCTATTTTTTCGAAAAATTTGTTTGACAGAAAATGACGGTTTTTCGATGAATTTTGCAATTTTTGGTTCTAAAGAGCCTTACTGTTTCATTTAAACTTTTTAATGGAAACTCAAACTTTTCACACATTTCCAGAAAAGTGTTAACCAGTAAATTTTTCAATTTTTGTGATTTTTCAGTATAAAGCATTTTGATGTTCCATTCAGAAGTTTTATTGAAACTGAAAATTTTCTCCATGATTGCAGAGGAATTTCTTTAGCCATAAAAAACCGAGATTTTTTGATGATTTTTCGTGATTTTCTGATTTGAAAGACTTCACTGTTTAATTAAGACCTTGTATTGAATCTTATACTTTTTTTCCAAGTTCTCAGATAAATATTTAACAGAAAAAAGGATTTTTTTGATATAAATCAGTTTACTGTTTCATCCAGAAGTTTAATTGAAACTTGAATTTTTACTGCTCTCCGAAAAGTATATCTGACAAAAAAATGAAGTTTTTTATTTAGTTTCCATGATTTTTCGACTCAATGGACTTCACTGTTTCATTAATAGTTTTAGCCGATCCTCGAATTTCTTTCCAGTTTCAGTAATTTTAGCCATAAAAAATTAATTTTTTTTCGTCTATTTTTCCTGACTTCGCTGTTTCAACTGTGTTAAAAATTGGCTATGACGTCACTTTTAAATGTTGTTTCGGTGTTTCCAGGTTCTTGAAGATATATACA